ATATGCCAAGATGTATTTAGCATGAATCATGAGCCTACATGGTGTACCAAAGACCATTGTGTCGGATAGAGGTACACAGTTTGTCTCCAACTTTTAGAAACAATTGCATGCGTCGTTAGGTACCAAACTTCTATATAGTACCGCTTATCATCCATAGACTGATGGTCAGATTGAAAGAGTAAATCAAGTACTTGAAGATATGTTAAGGTGTTGTGTCCTTAACTATTCCAATAAGTGGGATGAATGTTTGCCTTTGGCTGAGTTCTCATACAACAATAATTATCAAGAGAGCATCAAGATGGCTCCGTTTGAAGCACTCTATGGTCGTAGATGCAGAACCTCACTAAATTGGTCTGAACTCGGGGAAAGATGGTTCTTTGGAGTTGACCTTGTGAAAGAAACAGAAGAGAAGGTTAGGCAGATACAAAGTAATTTGAAGATAGCTCAGTCCCGACAAAAGAGTTATGCAGATAAACGACGTCGACCATTGGTGTTTAACAAGGGAGATTTTGTATATCTGAAGGTATCACCAATGAAGGGAGTTACCCGTTTCGGTGTTAAAGGCAAGTTGGCACCTCGTTATATTGGACCATTTCAAATTTTGGATAGGTGTGGAAAGGTGGCATATCGCTTGAAGTTACCAAAACATCTCTCATCTGCACACGATGTGTTCCATGTTTCTCAATTAAAGAAACGTCTTCGAGTGCCTGATCAGAATATTGAGGTTGAAGGAGTTGAACTTGAACCTGATTTGACCTATTCTGAATATCCTATCAGAGTTCTAGATCGGAAAGACCGTGTCACTCGAAGGAGGACAATCAAATTCTACAAGATACAATGGAATCAACATTCCGAAGAAGAAGCTACTTGGGAATCCGAAGATTTCTTGCTAGAACAGTTTCTGGAGTTTCTTGCGTCAATATAGAATAATGTTAGTTGTTCTCTATCGTTACAAATCATGATTGTAAAGGGACCTTAGCTGTTTTATGGTTAAGTTTTGAATGTTTTTGCTTGACACGTTTCCTTTTCCATTACTTACCCTGTGACTTTAAATCTCAGAATGAGATTTCTTTTAGGGGGAAAGATTGTAACACCTCTGGTGTTTTAAACCCTAAAATATGTCATGTCATCATATGCATTGCACATCATTCTTGTGTTAGTGAAAACTTTGATATGCATTCACTAAAACAAGTTTATTTTTATGAATATATGTGTTGACTTGTATGGATGAATCAAGTTTAAAACCTTTGTGTTGAATTGGATTCCGAAACCCTAATTTCTAGCATTTAAATTCTACCCTGGAAAACCTAATTCAAAATCTAAGCACATTTTGGGGTTGAGCCTAAAAGGCAAAGTGTAGAACTTGTCATTTTGTACAAAGTTGGTTTTTGGAGTTTTCAAAGTTGTTTTATAAATTTTGAAGTAATTTGAAAAGGGATCAATTTCGTAAAGTGTCCCCTTTTGATTTTAAACTTGCATTTTAAAATGTAGACATAATTTGAGTATGGTTGTTAAGCAAAGTTGTAGAACTTTGAATTTGGAACAACTTTTATTTTTGGAGATTTTAGAGTTACCATACAAATTTGAGAGTAATTTGAAAATTGGATCGAGTGGCAATTTGGTAATTAGTGGGAATAGTGCCAGCAGGCGACACCTCACCGACGGCGAGATTCCATCGACTTCTAGTCACGCCCGTGGCCACCTCCGGCTTCGCGCTGGCATGGGAAGGCTGCTGCGTGGCTTCTCCGTGCTTCTTGGTCGTGCTATAAAGCCAACGCCGTCGCCATTCTCCTCTGTTTCCTCTCCTCTGTTTTTCCCGTCGTCGCCGCTCAGCTCCATCGAGCTCGTGCCGTCGCCATAGCGCCCTTCCAGTCTCAGCAAAGCATGTCACCGTTCCACCTGCTCCTTGCGAACCCAGCCAACCTGTCCTAGATGCTTGATTTCACCGAGAAACACTGCACGCCGTCGTTCTTCCTCGCGGCCGGCCGTAACATCGTCGAGCTCACTTCTTCGTGGCCAGCAAGCTCCGGTAGCTTTCTTGATCTTTCAAGCCTGGTTTCATCTTTACCATGTTGCTCTGGTGCTCTGTTGCCTTTTGATTAATCCATTCAGCCACTACAGACGCCGGAACGCCGCCGTCGACGACAGCCTACGCCGCCGTGTCTGCAGTGATCAACGACAAGCTTCTCTGTTGCTCCTCCGGTTCCTCTTTCAGCTCGAGCGTGTTTGGGGTGAGCTACTGAGTCTTCCCAAACCTTTTATTTAACTGCTACCGGCCTCGTTTCGCCGGCGTAATGCAGCCGCACCGCCGTGTCCGCCATGGCCGGCGTCGAGCTCGGTTTGAGCCGTGGCTGGTGCAATTAGTGCCACCCATGGGTGTGCCTTGTCGTGGTGATCACGTTGGTACCCTCGCCGTCACCGGAGACCTCACCGTCGGCGAGAAATCACCGGTCAGAGGGCTCACCGCCGTGGTCAGCGCGGGAGTACTGTGCCGACATGTGGGACCCCGATGTCAGTGGCCGTTGATTTGAAAATGGATTTTTTTCAATTTTGCAGAATTGTTTAAATAGTGCTGTGTATTGTTTATTTTGTGTAGAATTAAATAGAGCTCCAAAAATTATGAAAATTTTTGTGTGACCTCTTTAAGATGTAAAATATTTAGGAAAAATATTAAATGTTACTTTTAAGTACTTTTTAATGTGATAAAAATTACTCAAATTAATTAATAAATGGGTTTTCATGATTGTTCTAGGCTTAAATATTTATCCAAAAATTATGAAAATTGTTTTGCCACTTAGTTATCATGTGATGAGCCTTCACAAAAAATTTGAGCTCATTTGGAGAAAGTTGATTTATTTCATAATTTTGAATTAAATAATTAATTCATAAAAACAAATAGTAAACCTTAATGACTTAGGTTTTGTTTGAATTTTGGATTGAGTGATGACCTTGGGTCATTGGCATAAAATGATCCTTGGTACTTAAAGTAAGTGTTTGAGTTTATGAAAAAGTTTAGTTAGTTGTTGGTTTGCAACTGTACCGCGTAGGAAAGTTGTATTCAAGTTTGTAACTTTTGCATCCATCGTCAAGCATCATGTTTTATATCTCACATCATATTGAACATGGCATTATTACTTCGTGTAGTGAACGAATGTGAGAACGTGGTAGTCAACCAAGTTGTTGAGGAAGTTAATCCAACTGTTGAGGTCGGGTTTGATATTTGTGGAACATCTCCGGAACCTGACTATTCCGACAATCAAGGCAAGCCCCAGGTGCTTTTAAACCTACCTTGTGTTTTACAAATTTATATCGCTTTTGCTTTCAAGTACGGCATTAAGTGATTAGGAGTTGAGTGAAAACCTAATTGGTGCATGACCAACCTTGTTTTTCCATATCAACCTTGTTACCAGTTTTAAATTCAAGGATGGCTAGTTATGCTTAGCCATGCTTAGACAGATAAAAGTCGGGTGATTACCTATCACCTATGAGATATAAAAGGGTTTTTGGATACGACTGGTTATTTGTGTTATCATGAGATATGAGCATGTGGAGTAATAAATCTAGACCGGGTGGACTCGGGGTGTGAGAGCCACAGGATATGGATGTCTTGTGAGCGGGTTCTTTCCGCCTGTGTCGATTAAGAACCGTCCGTTGTTGAATTGCATGAGGTGAGACTTTGTAGTACTGACCACATACTCCGGTAAGCCTTAACTTGGCTATTCTATTACGAGAATGGCTACTCGCGAACTGGGAGTGGAGAGATGGCGAGGGTAGCATGTACCCATGTGGCAATGGGCTGGATTGGTGGAGTACTGTGCTCTTGGGGGCGCGGACCCGTTCTTGATTTAGAGGACCTGAGGGTAGGTTGGTATATGTAGGTCAGGGACCTGCATATGTCGTGTGGTTGGGAATCCCCAGCTGGGTTACAATCGGTTTGAATCGTCGTTGCTCCTCGGTTATGGAGACTCAACTCACTATTCATCATCGTAGTAAATAACTGGAACTTGAGTACATGTTGAGAAAGAGTTTGATATGAAGTTCATGGTCTCAATACGGATCATGGCAGATTCATATATGATCTTGATGAAGGTTTTAATGTTGAAAGAAAGAATCATGTTAGAGAGCTTTTACGTAAAAGAACTTTATTTATTGCTAAAGCCATACCTTGAATCCCTGAGCCCGCATTCCTGAGTCTTATCAATTTTTATTTCGGTTAAGTCTTGTTGAGTACTTTTATACTCAGGGTTCGTTAACCCTTGTTGCAGGTGAATCTCATGAGCAGGTCTGCCTTGGATCGTGCTGCATGACTATTTTTCAAATCAAAGATGACAAGTAAATGTGTGGCCCTTGGGCAGGGCACTTTATTGTATGTTTTGTATTATATTACTAATGCCACAACACTACTATGGTTTGTAATAATAATCATACTTAGTTTATAAGGTTTGAAACTACTGTTTTGTAAACTAAGTTATTGTAAGACTTCCGCTATTTTGCTCTGATGTAAATTAATAAATAAACTGTTGCAATACTACAATGACTCTGTAATGGATCCTGCTCGGAAAAATTGTGGATGATTCGAGGTTCTCCGAGGACACCCGACAGTCTTCTTAAGTTATCGAGAACATATGCATAGTCGTAAGAGGTCATTGGACAGTGACAGATGCATGTGGGCCCTATAATTTAGGAGGTTCTGCCACAGATTGTCCTTCTTTGCTTTTTTCTATATAATGATATTGAAGCAAATAGCCATTCAAATATAAACATGGACTAGTCCCAATCGTTCACAGTCAAAACATCAATCAAAGCACCTAGATACTTGGGCTGGGAAGAGTACTTGAGTTTGGGCACAGGAAAGTTGACAATGCAACAACCATGAAGAATCGGAAGATGTCATCATCAGACAAAGAGTTGCCTACCAACTTCTTGCCAAAGGTCTTGATGAGGGGCAAAGAAGCCTCATTGATTTCTTTAAGAAAATTGGCCTTTGCAGACTCATCTTTCTATTGCCTGATATCTTCACCACCAATTGGAATCCCTAAGAATAGGTGAACTGATTTTGCAGAAAAAGGGACTATTTTGCCTCCAACAAGTATATCACAACAGTTGACATCGACTTGATTCGCAATCCATTGGACAAAGTTTCTATGCACTGAACATCCATCATACTCAAGGAAGATCCCAAATCCATGATCCCTGATGATCTTTTTCTTACACTCATCTAATTCTCTTATTTTCTCTCTAAAATACTTGTTATTGCACCTGCTTCCCGCTTTAGCAAATGAACTCTCACCAGCAGTTGATTTTCCTTTACCGGTGCCTTTAACATCTCTAAGATTCTGAAAAACCGATAAAAACTAAGTTTTCAGTTATGAAACTAATCATCAGTTCACTAAATATGGTGTCAAAAAAAAGCACATGCTACTGAATTTACCTTTCTAGCATGCTTCTGGACTTCAGAACGTCGTGATTTCCCTTCCTTCTTAATAGACTTAACAAACTAAAAAAACAACATCAATAGTTAGTTCATAAAAAATATAGTGGCATGGACTGATTCTAGTAACTTAACTGTCGGAGAATAAAAACAGAAAAGGTTGATATGTGCAAATGAGAGACAGACTGATGTCCTACTCCTATAACTATGACATAGTGAAGGTAATAGTCCAAAGAGATACAGAAATATGCATAGTTCAGTCATAAAAGTTTCAGAACATACTCCAGAAAAACACTCCTTTCATGTGCTTGAAAGCCTGGACTGCTACAGCAGGATCAATATCATCATCTGAGAAGTTGGATCCTAAAAATAAAACAAGATATATCATATTATATACACAGGTGCATAAACAAACAAAATTAAGTAAACTTATTACCACGCCAATATTCAATGAATCAGAGTTGTTGTCTTCTTCAGAGTTCATATCAAACTCATCATCACTCTCACCATTTACAGATTGACCATCAGATTGCAACTCATCATCAGCCATGGCTATATAACAAAAAAAAGTTTAATCAACTACAGTTTTCTTAAAAAATATGCATGCCTATAATTCAGAAACAAGAATTATTAAAATTTGCATGTTACTTCATTCTTCAAGTATCTAAGCATGTATATATCTAACAAAGTACCGGTAAAACAAACAACAACATATATACCTATCTATCCATATATAGAAGAGATATTTCCATCCATCTTAATCATGAAGATATATGACACACATACAAAACCAAATTTAATACATAAACCAACAGGTAGTCTGAAACACACATACAGAACCAAAGTGAGTAGTATCTGTAACCTTCTGGCCCAAATAAGCATTTACTATCAAGTCCAAATGTTTACATTGTGTAAAGGAATATATATTTCAGTGAAACAACTCAGAAAAGATTCAAATTTTCGATGAAAACACATAACACACTACCACTCAGGCATTAATGGCACAAAAACCTGCATTGTTGCCACAACAACAAATTTATAAGAACCAAAGAAAGTTGTGGGTGAACATTCAGATTGACAAGGAACAAGCACCACCTAAAGTCACAGTAGCAGCATAGGAAGGGCAAAAGCTATAAAAAGTACACTAAGCACCAAGTAAAATCGGACTTCAAAAATCACTCACGCTAAGTGCCTCTGCCTCAAGTATATAATATTACAGTAATATGATGTATGGATGATGAGCACCTTATAGCTAACACAGTAACCAATGAAGCATTTTACCACTACTAGTTCAATGGATACAAACACTAACAAGAATCTAATTCACTGAGCTAACAACAAACTCTATGCAGCCAGTTCACCTCTCATCAAAAAGTAGAATCTCAAATCTACCTTTAGTAATCATCTAGCAGGCTAGCACAGCACCTGAACAAACCAAGACCACAATATTCAAAACCTAGGGCAGCTAAGCTGAAAAAATTATAACCTTAATCGGCCATCGCTAACCAAAACGAGAATGCTTAGAACCAAGTTAAATCAGCTCGCCCTGCTTAGAACCAAGTCAATCACCTCACCCCTTAATGATGCCTCTTGAGAGGCTTCAGATAAAACACTGATTGCATAACGAGACAGTGCTACAGCTACAAACAAATTGATCGATAACAAAATCTGCCTATCTGGTTTAGCAGATCAATACTCACTAATCTAAACATAGCATTCAACAAAATCAAACAGATCAATAGTCGATTTTCACACCCAATCCATCTTGGTGTACTTTCTGACAGGCTGGGTGTTCCATCTAGAAACTCTGTGAGATATAGCAGGACTCTGGATGACTGCAGACAACAAGTAACTGCGATCTACTCACAATCAGAAATGGGAAAGGATAAATCATAAGAGCATATTTTTTTTAACAGCTGAACAGACTTCAGGAGATGATTACTTGACCATCTGAACTTGAATATCCCAAGCAAACCATGATCAACATAGTTCTATCAAATCACAGTTTCACAGTAGGTAGATAAATAGATTTCTGGAACTAGACATTCAGAGAGCAAGCAACTACTATCACAAAGTGGACTAAATGTTCCAAACAAGCCACAATCAGTTGAGACACATATGAACTTAATGTACCAACAAGCAACTAATATCACAAATAGATTGCTGGAACTTAATCTGTCAAACACAAATGGGTAAATCAACGCATCGCTAACACTGACATTCAGAGACAACATATGCAATGCAGTAGAATCATTTGGTTGGTATTAGTGACAAAGGATAGATTGTTTCAGTTTTTTCATGCTCATCCATTGGTAAATTGTTATCCATGCTCATCCACTCGACACTGGTGATCTAAACACCAAATCAGAGAGCACTCATGCAGCAGAATCAATGGACAGGAAACGAAACACAAAAGAAGCAAAATAGAGAACAAAACCAATGGTGAGCAAATGGGTAAATCAACTAGCTAGCACTGACATTCAGAGACAACTAGCTCTACAGACCCCTACCACAATCCAACGGTGTCTGGCAATCAGACAGCCAGAGTGGGCCCTGCACGTCAGTGTCACAAACCAACCAACACCACATCGGAACAGACCACACATCGATTCTTCATCCAACGGACACAAAATTCGTGTGCCAACAAACAACAAAACACATGTGTGTCATATAGCATTTCTGAATAAAAAATATGAGAGGTGGCCACCAAAATAAAGATGAATCAAACAATTGGAGAATCAAAACAACTATGCCAACCCAGATCTATGCTCAACAACTAATTTCAACCACAATAGCAGAAGTGGATCAACCATCAACAACTTCAGGGGAGAAAAGGCAATTAGCCATGAACAACTACTCACAAGCATCAGCTCAGATGGACCAGAAGCAAAACTAAATGAGCTCAACACATCACATTTATGTCCTGCACTTACAATGACAAATACAAGCTGTGTGTTGCAGGCCTGAAAACTCTAGTACTGTCACTTATACTTTGATACTGAAAAAACAAGTACAGATATGACACGACACCACACCACACTAGGAGTAGCTGGGTAGGGCCAATCTCTGTTTATTTCCAACTAGTTTCTACATACATAGACCGACACTCTGGCAAAGGCAAAAAATGACAAAATGGATGGATCGCAACAAAGCCTAGAAAATGAATCTGCACAACACGCACAAATTTCAACCACAAACAAATTTGCACACTCAACCGATTGTGCAAAATCAAAAAATATCACACTTCGATAGAAGTGCAAATTCTAATAAATTTGGACACTCAACTGACTATGACAGGAAATTTCAGAAACAATAATAGGTTGCTCATAGGTAGAAAAAAAATCAACCACAGGCAACTCATAGGGCCACACGAGACCAGATCTAGCAATCAGTGGCACTTGAGCAGGTCCTGTATTGTACACTAGCTAATACAGAATGTGCAAACAAATTTCAGTTCTACTACTACAGCATGGAGAATGAACGAATCAAAGGCGAACAACAGCAATGGGAGGGGCATACGAAGATTGCACAACCACAAGGACGAGTGGATCTAAAAAAATTGAAAGAAAAACAAGCATCCGGCATCCCAAACTACCAGAATGCAGATCGGCATCACAACGACACTGGAACATCCTCACAGCAGGGACGCGAGCGCGGGTGCGATGTCCGTGGCTCTGAACTACAAGAGAGGAAGGAGATCTGCCCCCAACCACCGGCATGCCAGCGTGGTCTGGGCGTCAGCGCCGGAGCAGACGCGTGGCTGCGAGGCGACCAGGTGGCCGTCGCGTTGGGCGGAGCAGACGTGTAGGTGCGAGGCCAGAAGGTGGCCGTGGTAGCGACCTGGGAGTGCGAGGAGCAGAGCTGGGACGGGGTGGAGACAGAGGAGGCCATGGAGACGCGAGAAAAAGAAGGGGAGGCGGTCGTACTAGCACTGGCTCCATGGATCCATAAACCAGGAAACAAATCCCCACATCAAACAACATCAAGGGCGCCATTGCCACCATGGATCCACCGTGCTTCAACCAACACTAAAAAACCAGAGAAACAAAGCAAAATAAAACTTGAATCAAAGCAAAATGAACCACAGCGCGGGGAGGGAGATTTACTACAAACCCAAGGTAGCAGAAGCAACATACCTCGCCAAACCCTAGAAAATCGCCATGGGCCCTACCGCCGGGAAACAACAACCCGAGGAGGGAGACGAGGGGAAATGAAAATGGGGAAGAAAACGAAACGGGCACCACAAATTGGTCGCGACTCTCAAAATCTAAAAAAATAGCACAGACATGTGGACCCCACGTGACAGAGACTCACATAAAATTCGTGTGCCAACAAACAACAAAACACATGTGTGTCATGTAGCATTTCTAATTTGAAGAGGGTTTAGGGGCGCATCCTCGATTTGACGAACTCGGATCGTGTCGGGAAGTGTTGCACCGTTGCGTAAACGCTACTGCACGGTCGTCGTTCGCTTTGTGCTTTGGGGTTTGTGAATTCAGAACGACTTGATTGATGCGCATGTACACGTCTCGGTAAGTTTTATTTAGCAATAATGGTGGTGATTTATTTCACATGGAAAATTGGTGACTACATCAGTTCGATTGCAATGCAATGCAACACCTCCCACGAGTTGAGTTTGTACGAGACAGTAAACAAGCAAACAAATTTAGCTAGCCAACGACCTTGACCGGACACCACAAATCACAGCAAACCTCCAACTCCCTCTTCGTTCATCTTGTGTATTCATTCGTGCGTGGCAGCGGGCGTCCGTGCCCGTGCGTGCCTGCTGCGCGCGCCGACGGAGCTAGCTAGCACGGCTAGCAGCTCGGCACGGGCACCTTGCACGCGGTGAACACCCTGCGCTTGTGCCTGGTGTCGACGAGGCGCTTCAGGTTGGCGTCGTCCTTGTACCGGCACAGGCAGTTGGGCCCGTGGGACTTGAGCCTGACGCAGCACGCGGACGTCGGCGACGCCTTCCCCGCGAACGCGCTCGCGCACGGGCTCAGCTGCATCACGTCGCACGGCGCCAGAGCCGAGAAGTCGCCCGCGGCTCGGCTGGCGAGGATGCCGACCAGCAGCACCGCCACAAGGAAGAACACGGCCGGCCTCATCGTCCCGACGATCCCGGCGAATTCTCTTCTCACTGGATCGGACTGGGATTCTGGGAGTGGGTTGGGAGTCCACGAACGTCGTCAGGAGCTTTTGTAGGCGCCTGGCTGTAGTATGGTGGATTAGCTGATTAGCAGGTGAGGTGAGTCACGGTGTAAGCATGCACAATCGAGCCCAGTGTCCGTTAGGTGAAGCACGCCCGATGAAAGGCCTGCCCATTTGATGCTTTCTCACCAGTCATCACGATTCTAACAAGGTTGAGGTACGTGCACATCCTGCGAACGTATTGTTGAGTAGTTTTTCAGTTAAACTTTTGGTTATGTCATAGGTCCTGTACTATTCCCATTTCCCAAGTGGGAAGCCAGCAGATCGTCTGATTTTGAAGATGACATCGACAAGATAAATAATCTGGCAAACTTCTGAAAATAAATGAACTTGCTTCTTGTCCCCAACAACGAGTTCCCCAATTCCTGAGGCAAAGTATCTGTTGGAGCGACACTTGCCGTCGATTCATTTGTTCCCTTCGACAGTTCAATTCCTACCGAGCAAACTATCCTTTTCTTCACAGCCTATGCCCCCTGAGATGATTATATACTAGCATTTTGGGTGGTTATAAAGATGTGCTTTCTGCAATAGACCGATCATATGAACCAAAATAACAGTTCAGCGTCCCCAACCTCGTATAAACACATGCATCCAAATTTCCCAAGCGATCATGGCAACGGACGAGTGGGCGGCCATAGGCACAAGTCGATTCATAAGCTTCTCGGTGGAGGGAGAGGTACGCTGCTCTTCTGTTCTTTCTGGGAAAAATAGGTTACGCGATCTGCATCAGTGTGGTTTCCTTTAGAGCAGATTTTACTCATGACCCCAATTGTTCGTGCTTGTGCCTCGCAGCCGCGGACATTTTACTGTGGAAGGACAGGAACTTGTCTGCAGTCGTGCTTGCTGGGGCCACATTGATATGGTTCCTGTTCGAAGTTGTTGAGTACAACATTATACCGCTCGTTTGCCAGACAGCCGCCCTGGCCATGCTCGTGATCTTCATTTGGTCAAATGCTGCGCCCCTCTTGAACATGTACGCCTTTCCTTTTCTGATGAGAAAATTGCGGGCTTAGACAAATTTTAAATGACACAAAGGCACAAGAAGCATTATTCAACTAACCAGTTTTGCGTTGCAGAGCCCCTCCAAGAATCCCAGAAGTCATCATCTCTGAACATGCCTTCCGACAAATAGCACAGATCATCCATTACAAACTGGCACACACTGTGTCTGCTCTTTATGACATTGCATGCGGAAAGGATCTGAAGAAATTCCTCTTGGTACATTACAATAAGTTATTACTTTGCTACCTTTATGAGAAAAAACATATGGCGAGTGTTACAGTGCCAAGATACAGCATACTGCAAAGATCCGACATGTGTGATACTTGGAATTTAAGTTAAATAAACTTGCACATCGAAAAGCTCAGGCCATTATTTTGCCAATGCTATTCAACAATCTAGTACTGTTTTGGGAAATTTACAACACTTTAGTCTTGCACTAACAATGTTCTGTTTCTAATTCTAAGGTGGTTGTGTCACTGCTAATATTGTCAGAGATTGGAAGTTCTTACAGCTTCACAAGTCTACTATATCTTGGTGAGTAGCGCAGAAAAAGTGTTTTTATAGCAAGATAAACGTACAAGACACCATATAAACCAGTTGTGACTATACATTTAACAAGTCTTATATTTCTTCCACGGGATTTCTCTGCGCCCACACTTTGCCAGCATTGTACCAAAGATATGAGATTGAGGTTGACCACCTAGCCGCAAGGGGTAGTGAAGACATCAAGAGGTTCTACAAGAGGATTGATTCCAATTTCCTGAACAAAATACCAAGAGGCCCTGTCAAGACAAAAGTTAAATAAAATATACTCCCTGAGGATACATCAATAGTTCCCTTGAAAGGATGCATGGATGGACCTATCATAATTTGCAACAGGATGTGTGAACACAATCCCACAAATGCGAAAAAGCAACTCCATTTGAGCTTGGAGAATTCAGATCTGACTGCTAGCATCCAAATGTACCTATCAATGTGTGATACAAGCATATTTTCATGACTTCAACAATCAATATGAAATGGACACTAATGTTGTAATCTCAACAAAGCATATGTTACCAAGAATTGAGTGGTGGTTTCTCTTTCAATTGTGACACCATGGGTTTGTTTTTAAGTACAAAGTGTACAACAAATAAAAAAGCGTCCAATATGGGCTCAGCAAGAAAAATAGTTAACATCGCCCGATTCATCATTCAATGTCTTCTCACATGTAAAATGCTGGCGCTATGTGTTTTACTAGCATACATGTGGAGTCCTTGGAATTAAACATTGCACGAGTTATATGAAAAGATTCATTTGTACCTTCTATGGTTGTGGAGAATCATCCCAAATCTGCTGTAGAATATGACCATATTTGATACATCAGAGCCCTTGGCTCTTTCTTATTTCAGTAGATGAAATATCTATGCGAAACTTTTCCTCCGGAATGGAGATGAACATGTCCCTCAGCTCTTCTGGAATGTCTAAATCCTCAAGGACCTTAGACAAATACCATATATAGTATCAGATGACCTCTTTTATTTTCTTCCTTTTTTCAAATGTGTGTAAAGCAAACGTCGATGTTAACCAATACCTTGAAATCTCCTTCAATCTTTCGGCCACCAACAAGAAAAGTGGTACCTGTGCTTTTACATTCGAGAAGTATCTCCAGCATTCTGTTGTAATCTCCTCCGTAATACTTAGGCTACAATGAGTAAACCTAGTTTAGTTAGACAACAAAAATATCCAACTGTCAATTTACTTATGCTGCAATGAGTAAGCTCTGTTAGTGAAGACAATACCATAATATGCTCAAAAGTAAGTACAAAGTGCTGATAGAAACCGTAAAGACGAAAGAAACTGCAAATAGTTTCTTACGTTAACAAGCCTTGCTGCAGTGTCTGCACCAATTATAAAAGCGCTTCCTGGGAAAAGTTCCGCTTTCTTATAGAAGTATGGTTGGTTAGATATAATCACATTCTTCCCTGTAGAAATAAGATCAGAGTCATTGAACACTGGACGGAGTTTCCCAAGCAAATAGATACATTATTTCCTAACCATTTCTATCTTAGAAAAAATAAGTTACTCCATCAAAAGCAGTAAATGATAACTGATGACAAAATAAACATAATTTCAGTAAAACCAAAGATGGGTTGCCCAATTAGTCAATCACTATTTCATAGTTTAGTAACATAAACACAAACCCCAAGAAATATTTTTGTTCATGGATCAATAAGATATTAGATGAATGGCCGCTTGAATGCATGGTAAACAAAACCCTAGTTCTCTGTAACTGCAATTGAACTATGTTTACAAGCTTGGCCTGTGTTAGAGTTATTAGTCCTTATTTATTGTTGCCAATTCCCTAGGCTAGACTGGCCCCTTGGGGCGCCACCTCCAGGCTGGCCAGGCCCTTTGGGCTCTCTTGTACTCTCTATATATATGTAACTCCTCTACTGTAATCTCTCAATCAAGCTAATCAATCTCAGCCTTTGGCTTCTATCAGCCTGAAACCTGGTTAGAGTTCTAGCAGTATAGCAAAATGGAAGTCATGTCATATAACTAACAGCGTACATGGCACTGGGACATACCTGCTTTTCTAAATTGCTCAACACGTCTCTTAATTTCTGCAATAGATAGTGGAGGTTTATTGGCATTAATTGCTGATATCTCAAAGAATGGAAGCCCATCATCACACATGCTACAAGAAGAGGTTTCATGAAAGATATCAGGCAATTTACTCTTTCATAGGTAGAAACAGCAAAAAAAGGCAAAGATAGCTATATGAAAATAGTGTTGCGCAGCCAAATGCCCATTATCAAAACATAATAAACCCTCCCTTTGATTAGTAACTTTCTCAGACAAGTGACATATCATTTCCACTTCAACACTGTACTACTTTCTTTGCATTTTTGGCTTTTATATTTCTCCTTGCTAGTATTTAGCATGATGAAATCAGCGGTACAATTTTTTTTATCTACACTCCTAGCTTCACAGGGAGAAAATCAAACCTTGATGCAACTTCCAACAATCTAAGGTGGCCATCATGCAAGGGGTTGAACGAACCAGGTAGAATTATTTTTCTGTTGAAGTTATTTTCCGCCAGAGCTACATTGAAGAAGAACAGTGTGGTTCAAAAAATGAAGGAGTTATAGAAAAACATAGAACCCACAAGACAGGACAAAGTGATTTCACAATGAAAATGGAAGAATTCTAGAATGAAAAACAGAGCAACTGCGAGTGCTAAATATACCAGCAAAATTATAGACTTTCATGCAAACTTGCCCATCAATAACTTGCTGAAGCTCTTGATCTTCATCAAATTGCTCCATGCTTTCTTCTGGAATTTCAGGTTCGTGAATGTCTGACTGAATGGTTGCAGAAACTCTGCAGGTATCTGCTATTGCCTACAACATGGTGAACTCTTAAAATGAGCACTATCTTAGAGAATGATGATCAATTATCATAAGACTTGGGGCAATCCTGATATGATCACATGATCAGGATTTGTTGCTCATATTTGTTGGTTATGAATTTATGATGTTCAACTTGATCGATATTACCACTGAGAATATACAAGTGCAGTGCATCTAGTGAAACATAATAACAAACCTTAAGCAAAAAGTAGCTTGAAACCTTGTCTTCTTCCTCTCTGCTCCGTAAACCCTGGGTAGAAAGAATATGGTACCATGAGGCAACACAGTTTAAAAATAATACTGGCATAGCATTGCTAATTTTACTGCAAATTCCGACCCCGCTGATATTAAAATAGTAGAGAGCACAAACCATTTAAAGGGTAAGAAAGGAACAGCGATACTTGTACCTTTGACAAGGTAACATGTGATGTCCTGAGGCAATTATGTGTCCACGTTGACACATAAAACCTATTTGAAAACAATAATCAAATATTATATAGTGCATAATCAAGATCCACTGACTCAAAGGATGAGAATTTTGTGCCACACACCATGTGCTCAGGTTCTTATGACCGCATCTCAAAGCATATGCTAAATCAGATATTCTAGCATAACCACTGTTCTAGGCTGGTGAAGGGGTGAGTTTGTGAGCAAGGCATACCTGTGGTCACCATGTTTTGGACGTGAGCTTGCCAGTGACCCAGTAAATCCAACACCCATAACTTGTAGACCTACACATACTCCCACTCATTGCTTCAAAATTTTTGGCAAGGATAGATGATGTTAGGTGTAAATGGTGCAATTCTACAAATTACATACTCATGTGCAGAATGATCAAATGCTGGGAAGTTAGATAAGCAGCATAAGTCCCCAAATACCTGGTCCAGAAAGCTTGAGTGCTCGGTTGTACGCGGCCAGTGTCATGTCCTCTGCAGCCTGCTTGCTAGTGAATTGCAGGGGCATCTGACCATCAAAGCAGGATCAGTGCGAGTTCCCCATTAGCCATCTGTGAATTCTCAAGTGGAAGCGAAGAGTGCTCCGGGACCGGGAGTGCCGATTTGGTTACCTTGCCAAGGAGCTGCGCCATGGAGGCCCTGGAGTAGGGCACGACAACTTCGAGGACGGTGCCCGACGCGCCGGGCACGGACAGAAGCCAGCCGAGCGCCTGCGCCGAACGGGGGTGCCAAACAGTTGGAGTTGGCCGATTTTTTGACGGCAAAATTACATCACGCGCGTGGGCATGATAGGTGTTGGTACGGATACCTGAGATGCGCCGCCGGCGAGGTAGATGACGACCTGCGAACGAGAGGAGTGGATGGCCTCCACCACCGCGCGGACCCAGCTCTCCATCAAGATCCCAGTGGACGCAGGTTGCGTGCGAGTTGCTACAGGACGAAGGGGAATTTGTCTGGTTCCTTCCTGAAAGTGCATCTAGCCCTTTAGTAGGTTTTGGATGATTAAATGACAACGTGATTAAAGGTCTAACCCGTTTGCTAAGTATGGACAGGTGATAGGTTATCTCACAGGTACTTAATAAAAGCCAAAATGATGTGTTGTTGTATAAACAATCTAGTTCAAGCACAAGACAACAATACAAATGGAATTCATGCAAAGGCTTGTTTATTGTGGAATTTCCATATACTATGTAAAAGTAAGCTTGTGAGAATTAATTAATGAGATATAAGGGATTGCATATGGAATGGTCTCATATTTGAAGCTTGCTAAATTGAAATAAAAAAGACAACAATACAAATGAATGGATGATTCAACACAAGATGTGACTTGATGACTTGAGATGGTGAAGATAGCAAGGAAAGGCTTCGAGGTACTAAGCAAGGGTGAAGGGCAAGCAACGGCTTGGCGGCCAAAGAACCTAGCTAGGGTGAAGAAGAAAGTACTTGCATTTAGTTGAGGTACTAATCAAGCTACGATGGTCATATTGATGTGAAAGATCAAATCACTATTGGAGTGTTTGATAGAAATGACTTGATACATTTGGGATTATTCAAATTTGATGAATGGAATCAAGTCACGTGCTCAAGATGGCTATGCTCAAGTGAAAAAGATCAATATCAACATGTTGGCACCCTCACTTGATGAAGATTGGAATACACGGCTTCGGTTCAAAAAGAGCAACTCAAAAGGTTTAAATTTGTTATACTTTTAAATTTGAGTAAATAGGAATGCTGTACTATTAAGAGGGATGCATCATGTTAATAGATAATGTTTCATAAGTGCTCAAGCCAACCCATGTGAGTTTTGAGTATTTGAGCGACAAAAGAGCCAACTTTATCTTTGTTGGTCTGGCAATACCGGACGTGTCCGGTATTCATACCGGACGTGTCCGGTATTTGCCCAGTAACTGTAAAAGTGTTGTTCTCGGGTTGGTTCGTCGGGAGTTCCGACGTAGGTCGGGAGTTCCGATGGTCGGAAGTTCCGGCAATGGTCGGGAGTTCCGACGACTCGCAATTTAAATAATTTGGAGAGTTCTCTGTCCAGGTCATACCGGACGTGTCCGGTATGGACGACCAGAGGCCAACAGCTGGTTTTCCAAAGCCTTGAGGGTCGGGAGTTCCGACGTAAGTCGGGAGTTCCGATGGTCGGAAGTTCCGGCATGTGTCGGGAGTTCCGGCACCTCATATTCTTTAACTCAGTTACATGGTTTTCAAATTTGCTGAGGATCGAGAGTTTCGACGTGAGTCGGGAGTTCCGGAGGTCGGGAGTTCCGGCATTCATCGGGAGTTCCAACGCCTCACATCTTCACTGTAACTTAGTTACCGTTAGCGCAGTGTAAGTCATATGTCCGGTATGCATACCGGACGTGTTCGATATTGCAACGGCTATAAAACGGCTAGTTTTTCAAGGGGGCTATAAATACCCCCAAGCCTCCACCTTTGGAGGCTGCTGATTCTGCTGAGATAGACACACGTTTTTTGAGCCTTGCCAACTCTCCTAAACCCTCTCTTAGTGAGTGTATGATCCAAATTGCAAAATCAATTTGTGGGTTAAGAGAGAATTTGAAAAAAAGAGCAAACCACCACTTGAGCACTTGTGCATATTGTCAATCTCGTGATTCGCATTTGTTACTCTTTGACTCTTCGGTCCTAGACGGCTAGGCGTCGCCGGAGAGCAACCGGGAGATTGTGGTTGCATCGGAAAGTTTGTAACGGTCGATTCCACTGCTTCGGAATCATTTAGTGGAAGGAGGAAAAGGAGTTGGAAAAGACTCTGGCTAGAGTGACCTTCGTGGTACCCTCTAGGGCTGACCTTCGTTGGGTCGCCCGCAGTCCCCTCAACGGAGAGTAGGACTCGAACGAGTTCGAACTTCGGTAAAATAAATATCGTGTCGTAATTCGCATTTCATTTAATATTTGTGTTGCTCTAGCTATTCTGCAGGTTCTCTGTGTATATTGTCATCTCCATTAGGTGCCTGCAGTTTGGTTTGAAGATAGAAATCAAAAGGAGCAAGTTCGGGGCCGATCTACAGAAATCGTGTATACCGGACACGTCCGGTATTCATACTGGACACGTCCGGTATTTCCTGCCTGCACTAAAAATATTTATTCTCTGTTCTAACTTGGTGTTGCAGGGTTGTAACTTCTAGATATATTCTTTATACCTTGTTTACTCTGTGGCTAACTTGTGAGGGGTGATAGTACTCTTAATTTGGAGTTTCCATTTTGAAAACTCTCCTTTCTAATTGTTTCCGCATTCAAAGGTGTTAATTTTCAGAAACGCCTATTCACCCCCCTCTAGGCGACATCCTAGGTCCTTTCACTTCCCCTAACAACAACAGCCAACACTGTAGTCTGATTGAGGGAGATTTACATTTTTACAGTTATTAAGAAAGGCACTCATCCAAATATAATGATACTTATAAATTTTACTAGACGGTTGCCGATCGCCACGCCTTGCTTATTTCGGCGCCGTTGGCGCCGAGAGTAGCCAAAATGTCCTTGCTCGCCCGCCCTACTTCTCTCTCCCTCTCTAACGACTAGGTCCCGCAGATCCTCTCACTGACAGGTGGGCCCCATGTTTCAACTTCCATCTTCCACCTCTAGGTATACGCACACTCCCTGGTCTCCTCACGTTGGTCGCGGTGCTGCGCACGGCCTGCTCCACGGCCTTCACCTAGGTGCCAGAAAGCGCATCATGCGGCTGACGCTGGGGTCGTCGAGGATGGAGATGACGAGCTGCTCGAGCTCGATCCCCGACGACGAAGCTCGGCCCGGCATAGCGCGAAGTCGACCGACGGTGGCGCTAGTGGCTCTGGTGCGGTGCGGTCGGCCCCGGCGGACAAGGCTCTTATTCTGCATCTGGCGGTGTCCATGGCGATCAGCAAGCAGCGGGAGCGACGAATCCGGCCTGGATTCGAGCTGCGAGCGCGAGCACGGGGTGAAGGAGGTGGAGGCGAGCGCTGAGATGGCTAGCTAGAGACGCAAGGATGGGCGAGTGGTGGAGGAATGAGCGGCGCAGCAGGGAGCTCGTCGTGGCTGCCCATGGCGGCGGTCTGCTGTCGCGCTGCCGCGGCCTTGCGCGAGACGCCCGAGACGGCAGCCTCGGTGCGGAGGACGCGGGCGAGGGCGTCCGGCTGCTCGTGCTCGGCCTCGGCGTCGCGTGTGGACGGGGACGAAGACGGCTTCCGCTGCTGACGCCGGTGGCTGGTGCTACGTCGGGCAGCAGGCATGATAGGCGCACCGCTGGCGTGGCTGCAGCCGACGCACAAGGCCAACAGTGCCGCCGCCGGGCAGAGCTCGCCCTCACGTGTGAGCCTTTCTCGTCGTCCTCGGACGCTCGGCAACCATGGATGGGGGACCAAGCTGGGTGGTGTCGGGCTCCCATCTAGGTACCGGAGGTGGGAGACAAAACTGACGAATGGGACCACCTGGGAGTGAGAGGATCTGTAGGACCCAGCTATCGGAGAGGGAGAGAGAGAGGAGGGCGGGGCAGCAAGGACACTTTGCTTGTCCGTGCTGACTGGGCGCCGACGTGTCAAGCTGGCGTGGCGTGCTATATGCGCAAAGATGACAAATCCGTTGTTAAAACTTCTCATCTGATATATTTATAAGTTCCATTCTCATGATGATATTTTTGAATAAGTGTTATTATTTGTCTCCTACAATTAAAAAGATTAAAAGTAAGACTATTTTTTGGTGCAACTTTTTTTGGGGTCGCTCCTCCTTTCCAGCCATGCGATACTCCGCGCGATAGAAAAAGAAACTGCCATCCCTGCGATCCCCGTCTGCTTTGAAGGAAACAAATCGATCACCTGAGCCCACATACATGAAAAAAACAATAATCATGCATGGAATAAAACAATTGGCAAAGATTAAGCAAGACTCCTCTCTTCCAGCCATGCTATACCCCACGCGATAGAAAAAGAAACTATCATCCCTGCGATCCCCATCTGCTTTGAAGGAAACAAATCGATCACCTCAGGCCACATATATGAAAGAAAATAATAATCATGCATGGAAAGAAATAATTGGTAAAGATTAAGAAAGACGACTCAATGAGGTTGACCCTTAATTTTAATGTTTCTAACATGCAGACCTGAAATTAAAAAGTGCCTGCTCCTTGAGAACATCAGTGGTGCCAAATAAAAGATGTGTAGGTTATACATGGTGAGACTGGTGAACCTTCTATAATTTTCTAAATGAATATTCCCACTATTCATATATAGGTCCATTCCCTGCGTTTCTTCGTGCTCTAATTAGCATATAATATGAAAGTATTATTGTGTTCATCACGACTTTCAGTTGACTACTCCCATTAGCATATACTTTCTCTGCCCCAAAATATAAGTCGTTATGGGATATATGCAGGTCAAACTTTCTCAACTTTTACTAGATTTATAAAAAATACGTGCAACATTTAACAATCAATTGGTCGACTCCTGAGGCCACATGCATGTAAAAAATACATGTATTATAATTGGTTGAAGTTAAAAAAAAGTTAACTTCTCGGGAAACGAGAATGAATTCTATTTTGGAACAGATAGAGTATATGAAAGCAGCGTTAAAAATATTTTAATAATTAAGTTCGTCACTGTCTGATTGGTAAGCTTAGACATCATAATGGCATCAAAATTTTCGACTCTCATGGACACCCTCATGCATCAGTGCAAAGCATCCCAATCCTACAGCATACATAAATGGCAAACTTAAAGACCATTTTAGACGTTCTGGCATTAGAGTATATACGTGCAGACACATAGACATAGTGGTGCAAGTGAGCAGCCAGCAGGAGTCGAGAGTTATGGAGTGTTGGATCCCAGGACTAAACTTTAGTCCCTGTCACATTGAATTTTTAGATATCAATTAGGAGAACTAAACATGAGTTAATTATAAAACAAATTACATAAGTTGTGGCTAATTCGCTTGGTAGTGCTGTGTAGAGGATGGTATGGAGATGTGGTGAAACTTATTTGTAAATTTATTGGCGTACGAAAGAAATAAATATCAGAAATATCTTCCTGCCGGTATAAAAAATGATTTTAGCCGCATCACGGAAAGATCTACACAGTAGAGTTTGTGAGCCTGCGACGCCATGCTCTCTGTGACTGTGTAAATTTCACGAACTTAGCTTTTTGGATTAAATGTCACTTTAACGTTGGTTATATATTTTTACAGTATTGTTATCTTATCGTACGATCCGTGTATTTTTAGTACAAAAATTTAGCTGTCACGTAGCAACGTACGGGCACGAACCTATTTACATATATACTCTAACCTGTGTGGACATGATTATATGAAGATGTAGTGGAACTTATTCATGGATTTATTAGCGCATGAAAGAAATAGATATCGTAGAATTCTTTCTGTCGATATAAAATATTATTCTAGTCGTATCATGAAAAAGTCTATACAGTAGAGTTTGTGAGCCTGCGACGTCGCGTTCTTCATGACTGTGTTAATTTTACGAACTTTGTTTTTTGAATTAAATATTACTTTGACATTGGTATTTAATTTAACAATATTATTATCTTATCGTATGATTCGTATATTTTTAGAATAAAAAATTTAGTTGTCTCGTAGCGACGCACGCATGGACTGTAACGATAAAAATGTAAATCTTCCTCTGATTGACCCCGTGGATAATTGGGTCTCTAGAAACCCGTTTACGCAACGGGCTACGTAATACCGACCCCAGGCCCCCCAGCCCAACCAGTGCCGGTTCGCCAATGTTTCGGCCTGGCCCGCGATATATGCGCCAAACACCTCAAAAGCCTACGCAGGAGTTCGTCACGCTGCAGCTGCAACTGCAATAGGTGACCCGACCGCGTACTGCTTCGTGAATCGACATCGATTAGCGCCGACCACCTGCCGCCGTCTCCTCCTCGGCCCCAGCCATGGCCGGCGGCGACGGTGAGGCGGCGACCCTAAACCCCATCTCCTCCATGTACAGCCTACAGCCTCCCCTCGTGACGCGGTTCCCCTCTCTTCTCCCCTGCAGGCGATCGGCACCGAGCGCCGAAGCGGCACAAGTCCTCGGCGCCGTCGAAAGCGGCCCTGGTGGACGAGAGCGCCGAGTTCGACTACGCTGATGACTTCGACGACGACGCCCACGACGGTACTGTCCGCGGGCTTGATCCCTCCTAAATCCACCGGCTTCCCCCGAATCTGTGCGGTTTCTGCGGAACTTTTTAATGATGGGGATTTTGGTTGGTTTTCTTGCTCTTATATGCAGCGGATATGGAGGTGAAGAAGAGGGATTTCACGAAGCTCGAGTTGAAGGTGGATCACGCGAGCCGTCCGCTCTGGGCTTGCGCCGACGGCCGCATCTTCCTCGAGACCTTCTCGCCGCTCTACAAACAGGCTTACGATTTCCTCATCGCCATCGCGGAGCCTGTGTGCAGGTTCCCTCCAATCACTTCCATACTCAAATACTACCTGTACCAGCCTTGGTTGCATCTTTATTCAGACTGCTCATGTTTGTATCCGGGTTGTACACAACACAACCTGAATTCCAGCAGCTGATTTCTGCATAAAGTTCTGATAGCATGAAGAGGCCATGCTTTGATGGGGCTGGTCTGATCAATCTAGTATGCATTATTGACACACTAGCCACAATGAATTAGGCTTTGGATGTCATGGACCAGGAGATGTATTTCGAGTATTTCCAAGACTAGATTGAGGGATTTCCAATATTCCATTCAAAACCTTACTACAGTTTGAATTTAGGACGGGGTTTGCTTTTGGGTGACTTCTTCTATCCCATGTTAACTTATGATCATGTGATGGAGTTAGCATGATTTCATTTGAAGGAATTTGTGTGAGATTGGTTGGGATGCATACATATGCTGGGAGTTGTGAGGGAGAAAGACGCCAGTGTTTGCTTAACTCAATCAACTATGATTATTGGGATCTTTTGGTTTTAAATAAGTGCTGAGTATAGCTATTGCATTTTTTGTATTTTTTCTTCTCCGAGCAGAGTTTTTTGCTTGTTAGTTATGTCATTTGTTTATGAAGTTAAATATGTGGACCACTATCTTAACTTGACTGGAGTAAGTTGCAATACATGCAATGTTTATTCTGGGGAATAAGTGCTAGGACAGTAGGATTTGCTTACTTTGGAGGATTGAATGACCTCATTAGAGGTATCAGGAGCTCGTTACTTCAAATTACCTGGAACAGCAATGAACATAAGTAAAAATTGAAATTGAATCTGAGCTCGCATGGTTCTGTTAATCTACAATCTAAGAGATATTGAAATGGCTATGTTTTTTCTTCAAAATTTCGAGGATGCATATGCGATAAAGGTTTGAAATACATTCAATGACACGTTTGCAATTTTGCTTTCTGAAAATTTTACCCTGTTGTTGTTGTGCAGGCCAGAATCTATGCATGAGTACAATCTAACTCCCCACTCATTGTATGCTGCGGTCTCAGTGGGACTTGAGACAAGCACTATCATTAGTGTCTTGAGTAAACTATCTAAAACCAAGTTGCCCCGCGAAATAATTGATTTCATCCACGCATCCACTGCTAACTACGGGAAAGTGAAGCTTGTCTTGAAGAAGAATCGATATTTTGTCGAGTCTCCATTTCCTGAGGTTGTATCACATGGCTTGTGTATAAAATTCTGATTGCTCTATTGTTTTTCTTTAATGAGAGAACTGTGACACCTATTGTGCAGGTATTGAGTAACCTTCTGAGGGATGAAGTTATATCGAGAGCTAGGATATCTCCTGAGGTATTATCTAGTTTGAGTTTATTCTCTCTTACCGAAACAAATTAGTGTCAGGTAGAGAAGAACTATGCAGTGTGGAAAAGTGTGTTCATGTCATCAGTTTCTTTGTTTTATTTCTTATGGTCTATTTTCCATTTTTTGTTTCCTTTTATCATATACTTCTGTTCCATATCGGCTCCCAACTTCTTGGGTGTGTAATCATATTGGACATTTGAAACCATTGCAGCTTGGTTAATTTTGTGACCTACCTCAGTAGTCTCTTAGATATAAGTTGTTTCCCTGCTAATTTGTCTACACTAGATCATTATTATCCGTGTAAGTTAGTTGTTTGCATTACAATGCCAACTAAATCTATCCTAATTTCCTTCAGGATTCCCTTGGTGCACCTTCATTTACTGTTAGCAAGACATCTGGCCAAATTGCTAGTGGACATGAAGACCTGTTAAATGGAATGGAAATTGCTGCTGCAACTGAAGACAAGGAAACACATTCTTTTGAGATTGATCCCTCTCAGGTATTTCTTCACTTCTATTGAAGCTTGGAAACCACTGAGTTACCAAGGGACTGATATTCTGTTCATTTCACACAGGTTGAGAATGTCAAGCAGCGGTGCTTGCCAAATGCATTGAACTACCCCATGCTGGAGGAGTATGATTTCAGAAATGACACTGTAAGCTTGTCTAATCTCAGGAGACAGTCACTGCATGGTTTAGTGAGCTTAGTTTTCTATGTCTACTTCAATTGTAGGTAAACCCAGATTTGGAGATGGAGCTAAAGCCGCAAGCACGGCCTAGGCCATATCAAGAAAAGAGCCTCAGTAAGATGTTTGGGAACGGTAAGTTCATCATGCAAGCATCATGTAAAATTGAGTTTCAAACAATCATTACTCTGTTAAGAAAGCTATACATGGCAACAAAGCTTGCACTGAAGAATTTGCCAATAATTAGCATTGAATTGAAAATTGGATTGCACATGGCTGATATGTGACCATGTTCAAAATGAAAACAGATGTGGCTTTTATGAAATGGTCTTACAATGTCTTGTTTATATGGCATCCTGTATTGTGCTATTGTTTAGTGCTTGTGAATTTCTAACAGAAGCTAATGCAAGTTTTGAACTGCTAGCAAAATAAGTTTTTGCTAAGGATGTGTTTGCTAATGTAAGGATTTTTTGGCACTTGCAGGGAGTAAAAAAAATTGACATACTTGAATGAGTCTGTGCTACCATTTCTAATTTGATTTAATTTGTAATTATGCAGGACGGGCAAGGTCTGGAATTATTGTGCTACCTTGTGGTGCTGGCAAGTCCTTGGTTGGTGTATCTGCAGCCTGCCGTATTAAGAAGAGCTGTTTATGTTTGGCCACAAATGCTGTCTCCGTAGATCAATGGGCATTTCAGTTCAAGCTTTGGTCAACCATAAAAGATGAGAACATTAGTCGTTTTACATCTGATAACAAGGAGAAATTTACAGGCATGGCTGGTGTGGTTGTTACTACATATAACATGGTTGCATTCGGTGGTAAAAGGTCTGAAGATTCGGAGAAGATCATTGAAGAAATCCGAAACAGAGAGTGGGGCTTGCTTCTAATGGATGAGGTGGATTAATCTATTATCCAATTATTGAGGTGTTTATGCTTCAATGTCTTAATAAAGTGTCACACTCACTTTTGTCTCCTTTTCTTGTGTATATGTGTTTTCAGGTTCATGTTGTCCCTGCACATATGTTCAGAAAAGTCATCAGCATTACTAAATCTCACTGCAAGCTTGGTCTTACTGGTATGCTCCCATCATATAATCCTGCATGATGTCACTGTTTGCTTTGGTGTATTATGAATTCACTATGTTAATATCACCACAGCTACCCTTGTGAGAGAGGACGAACGTATTACTGATCTGAATTTTCTAATTGGACCAAAACTGTATGAAGCGAATTGGTTGGATTTAGTGAAAGGTGGATTTATTGCAAATGTGCAGTGTGCAGAAGTATGGTGTCCTATGACCAAAGAGTTCTTTGCTGAGTATTTGAAAAAGGAAAATTCAAAGAAGAAGCAGGTGAATCTATGTTGAAGTTTCTCATATGTTCCTGCAGAGAAATTACATAAATTTCTGTCCTTATTGTGTGCACACACAATATGAAGTTCACACGTTCCAGTTAACACTATTGTTATTCACCTCCAACAAGACATACTAAGATACTCTTATACTTTTTTCATAAGTAAACAACAGAATTTTTTGTTTGATATTCTCGCTTTATTTAATTCTCTTCTATCTTTGTATATGGAGGATCCCATCTTACTAACTCTTATATTCCAGGTACTGTATGTCATGAATCCGAACAAGTTCAGGGCTTGTGAATTCCTGATTCGATTCCATGAGCAACAACGCGGAGACAAGATCATTGTGTTTGCTGATAATCTATTTGCACTAACTGCTTATGCAATGAAACTACGCAAGCCAATGATTTTTGGTGCCACAAGGTGACTTCGCATTTATGCAGATGTTACCTATTTTCTTTTAATTTTGCGCTTATTTATCTTTGAATCATTTAGCCATGCTGAGAGGACAAGAATTCTCTACCAATTCAAGAACAGTCCAGAAGTCAATACAATTTTCCTTTCAAAGGTGTGCTTAGTGACTATCTAAGCTTGAATATGTATTTGGAATCAACTTACTGTCAGCAATCTTTGTGACTATATGTTGTTTCCTGTTAGGTTGGTGATAACTCGATTGATATCCCAGAAGCTAATGTTATCATACAAATATCATCTCACGCTGGTTCGAGACGTCAAGAAGCTCAGCGTCTGGGACGTATTCTCAGGGCAAAGGTACTGTTGGCTGTTGCTTTCTACCATTTGTTTCTGTTCATTGACAAGCTGATTGCAATTGCTGCACCTGATCCTTTAGCATTCAAAATTCTATGTGGATGTTTATGTTCCTTTTGACATTCAAAATTAATGTGGACATTTATATTCCATATTCTTGAATTCATCATGAATGCAAACACATTATGGTGAAAAGTCTTGCTACTAGAAAGAGGTTCTTAGAGGAAATTTGTCGTTAGTTTCAGCTATCAAGTAACACAGTAAACCTCTGTTGTTAATGTCATATTGACACCCAACAATATATAGTTTCAGCTATCAAGTAACACAGTAAACCTCTGTTGTTAATGTCATATCGACACCCAACAATATATATTGGTTTGATTTTGCTGTTGTGCTGTTTCATGGCTTGCAAGAGCCCCTCCAGTGTTGGTAAAAATCGATTGGTGAGGCAAATCGAACATGGCACATGGTGTGAGAAACGAAAAGCGAACTCAGTTTTAGGTTCGAAATCTGTCACGAAGCAGGTCCCACAAAGAAAAAAAACATGTGAGGGTGAGGGAAACCTGCCTTTAATTTGCATTCTGTGGGTCCCACTAAACGATTTTGCACTGAGGCCTCCCACCATGGATTGAGTCATTGAACGCTCCGCCTATGGTTTGATGCAGCACTTCAGCTGCTCTAACTGAATTATCACTGACAGTAACCTACTGACCTGGTATTTGGAGTAGTTACACATAGGTGTTCATGTATTTGCACACTACCTTATTTACCAGTGTAGAGCTACCAACCTGTAGTTAAGTTTCAGCTTATGCTTATCAGAGTAATTACCTTGATTTGGCTAATCAAATTGGGAAAAAATATACAGAAAGTATTTGGAACACAACTTCAACATTCCTTCTTTAACGAGTATCATCAATTATATTCTTTTTATATCCTGTAAATTCTTGTGACTTCAGGGTAAGCAGCAAGATCGGATGGCTGGAGGAAAAGAAGAATACAATGCTTTTTTCTATTCCCTTGTATCAACTGACACACAGGTTAGTCTCACTGGATTACTGATTTCCTCACTATTTTCCCTTTTTTTTCTGAAAATGACAGCATGTAGATATGTCATAACAGCCCTGCAAATTATCTTTAGCATATCAGCATTATATTCTTTGTACCGATGCAGGAAATGTACTACTCAACAAAAAGGCAGCAGTTTCTTATTGACCAGGGATATAGCTTCAAGGTATGGCTTTTGGAGCTTACTTCAGAAGGAAGATTGTTCTTTTGGGACTTTTTAGTGATGAAATGTTGTACTTGCCAGGTTATCACTAGTTTGCCGCCGCCTGAAGAAGAACCTAATCTGAGCTTTTACACACTTGATGAACAGCTTGAGCTTTTGAGCAAGGTGGGCATTTCTGTATCCACTGGTCATAGTTTTGTTGGCAATTACTGATCGTGTGCAGATGGACCCGTTCACCGCTACCAACAGGTGCTGAATGCAGGGGATGACATGATTGGTGTTGAGCGCTTAGAAGAAGATTCTGATGGCAAGGCTCTTCTAAGAGCACGACGCTCTGCCGGATCAATGAGCGCCTTCTCTGGAGCTGGTGGAATGGTCTACATGGAGTACAGGTGCTGCCTCTCTCCACTTTTCCTCTGGTTTTTGTTTCGGACCATATTCAACCTCTTTTTTAACTGAATGCACCGGCCCATGATCTTTTCTTTCCAGCACTGGGAAGGGAAAGGGTGCTCCGAAGAAACACAAGGACCCATCAAAGAGGCATCATCTGTTCAAGAAACGCTATGCGTAGCCTGTTGTGCTTTGCTAGAAATGATTTGGTTCATGAGAACCTTCTTGTTTGGCATCAAATGTCGTTGGCTTATAAACACACAAGCCAGGTTATGCAGAGCTGTTACTTTTGGTCAAATGTTTCCTCGGTTTGAGCAAGGTTACTGAGCTACTGTAGCGAAGACCAATTTTGATCTCAGGTTTACACATGCTGCTTAAAGTTGGCATACCCGGCTTTCGGGTGGGAGTGGGACAACAGGACGTGTCTTGAAACTGTAAATGTTGTTGTAAGCCTTGTATTATACGAGTAAAAACACGCTAGTAAATCGCAACGCTTCATATTTGCTGCTGGGTCCTGGCTTCCTGCATTTCAACTGGAAAGGAAACTAAGGGCCGCAGGGCTCTGGCTCCTCTGAAAATGGCTCTGGTTCTGACTTCTCTGAAGGAGCAGTTTATTTGGAGGAGCTGAAGCCGTTCTGGAAAACGTTTGGCAAAACGGTTCCTTCGCACTAGACGACGTGAACCCACAGCAAGGAGCCGCGCGAAGCTCGTTTTTAAGGCTTTTTCTGCGTAGGCAAAAAATGGCTCCGGCTCTATCGGCTCTCCATGCGGAGCCTTTTTCAAAACAGACGTTTGGCAAAGCTCTGTAGAAGCCAGAGGTGAAGCCTCTGCAGGAGCCCTGCCAAAGAGGCTCTAAGTTTTCGATAATCCTGTGTATGACACGTTATTGCCTATGGTTGTCAGTTTGATAATTTGTCATCCGTCCATTCAAAATTAGAAGACATTCAATCTGTTCGTTTGTTGGTTTCCGTCAGGGCCTATCAGTCAGTCAACAGTGTTTTCCTCTCACAACAAATCAGCACCGGCCGGATTTATTAGCCCAGAAACCAATTAGCGAACAGGTTCATTGCTTTTATTATGCATGTGAACATAGTGTATATCTAAATGCATAGCAAAAGCTATATCCAGAAAAGCTAAAACGTCTCATAATTTGGGCGACTAAACATTGTAGTGTTTGTTCACGACTAACATGTTGAGCATTGCATTAAATTCAAGCCACTTTACCACGCTCAAGTAGCCCACGCTAGTGTATCTGTGGACTGATCACTTATCCGCAGTTAGAGTGTCCCCATTGTCCTCCATGCTCCGTGGCCTCCTCCAATTTGACGAAAAAATAGAGAAATATTTATTTGGTGGTTGACATGTGGAGTCACATATGATATGTGGGATATGCTAGCCACAAATATTTCAAAAGCCACAACTGATGAACCAAACGACTTTTTTTTTTCAAAAGCCACGACTATTGAACCAAACGACTTTCTCATGGCCTACGACCCACGTCAGCTTTTTCATAGCACATGCCATAGTTCGACCAAACAGGGCCTTAGCTTTTTATGTCTTCGGTGTGCAGCTTACAGTAGACTATGGTGGCTAGTCTTAATTTGCAAAGGCTAGTCCGTTGTGGGACAGCGTGCTCTAGCGGTGTAAGCGGATACGATGCCGTGACAGCTACATGGCTTGCAACGGACCGCAGCGGCTAGCTCCACATAGCAGAGCTTGGCAAGGTGCAGAACATTGTCAACAATGACGGTACAAGCTGTGACGATGGTTTATCGAATATTGAATTTGTGAACAAGGATGGTGGTGCAGTGTGGCAACCGGCTAATAGGGATGTGGATCGTTGAGCAGCAATAGGTCGAAATGTGATATAAAGTCGTAAGGAGACGTTATGTTGCGGTGCATGCTGAAATATCAATCCAACCGACCATTGTCTTAGTTGTTTTAAGGAGACGTTATGGTGCGGCGTATGTTGAAATCCAATCGACCAACTATTGTCTTAGTTGTTTTGGCTGATTTTCTATTGCTAGTTTTTATTATGGTTATTTGGTCCTTTTAAGGTTTTTGTTGTTTTTTTCACTACCAAAACATATGCCTGATGTGCTCCTGTTGATGGCTTTTAAAAAAATAGGGGGAATAGTTTTAAAAAATATATTGATATATATATATATATATTTTAATGAAATGTTATTGACTAACTGATAAAAGATTTCAGAAATTTGGTTTCAGTCTTGTCAAAATGTAAAGTTTTTTATACTTAGGAGTAAATACAAAGATACTTCACGTTTCGTGCCCTAAACACGAAACAAAATTCTATCCAATCACGTTTCAGAAACTGAAGAAGAGGCCCCGTGCCCCTGTCGTCTCGTGCAGCCGCGAGCACGAGGCTGTGAGCGAGCCAGCCAAGGCGCTCATCGACTCCAGCCAGCCGCCCAAAAAGCCAGGCGCAAATCACAACCTCGCCTCCTGTCCCCTCCCCCGCTCCTCGTTCCCCTCTCGCCGCCCGCCACCCCGCCGCGATCGAGGAGGCGCCAATAGTCAGGAGAGGGTTTCCTCCTCCCTCCACGGCTCCACCGAGCCCCCCTGCCCCTCCGCCCCAAATCGCTCTCACCCGGTTGGCCGCCGCCCCGCCATGGATTTGGATCTGTGGATCTCCCAGGTCAAGGAGGGCCAGCACCTCGCCGAGCACGAGCTTCAGTCTCTCTGCGAATACGTGAGCTCCCTACCCTTTGACTAGCTCGTTCCGCCCCTTGGGGTTTTTATCACCTCGTTGCTATCTAGGGCGGTGGCACGCGAGCACACAGCCTGCGCGGCGGTGCTAGGGTTCTTGGTGGGTGGAGGTAGATGGAGGGGGAAAACGGTTTCCTTTGCTGCGTCTGCTGGTGGTGTCTGTGTGTAACCACGGTCTGCTTTACTGGCTGTCCAGGTGAAGGAGATCCTCATCGAAGAGTCGAACGTTCAACCGGTGAACAGCCCCGTGACGGTTTGCGGTGACATCCATGGGCAGTTCCATGACCTGATGAAGCTCTTCGCGACGGGGGGCCACGTCCCAGAGACGAACTATATTTTCATGGTGCGGATTGTGGAGCCTTTTTTCTTCATTGCCTTTTTCATGGGAGCCGTGGTTGTTGGGAAGGTTTGGCATGGCTATGTTTATCTCAATCGAGCTGTGGTTCACTCGCAGGGTGATTTTGTGGACCGTGGCTTCAACAGCCTGGAGGTTTTCACCATCCTATTGCTACTAAAAGCGAGGTATTTAGTCAGTTTCTTGTTTGGCATACTCAGTTGTTTACTTGATTGTTGCAATGTTTCTGCTGCCTAGCTTCTATTGTAATAGCCGCTTCACCATTTTGTGTTGTTAGTACAATAGAACCTCCTTAGGGTTTGATGCATAATCATTTTTTTTATGAAAGGAATGCATAATCATTTTTTAGTATAACACAACCTTGTTGTTTTAGGAAAGATGCATGGTTGCTGCTACATAATTAACCATAGTAGCTAATTTAAACAGAATTTGGCTAATGGCTTGTATTGATTGATTGCCAATTGACTATTCATATCCTTTCGCACCTTGTTGACTCACTTTCTCACACTTTCCTGGATTATTGGCTGCTCTACGGATCAAATTATCTTTTAGTTTATTATGCAGTTAAAACTTAAATAATGTATGCTGTTTTGATTTCTGAAAAATACAGATAATATCCTGGAGTTGATCTGAATACGTTTAACCATGGTTGGCACTGTCCACCTAACATATGTGGTAGCTGAATGAGTTTACTGTGTCTGAACATAGAAACAGAAATTTCCTCCCCTTTTTAGGCAGCATGAACTGCAAGTGTGAAAAGAAACATCCATTCTCATAAATTTTCCCAATGAACCAACATTCTGATGAGATGGCTTTGATTCTCATAATTCTCATCGTTACTTCAGTTCCCATCTAGAATGTTTCCAAGAATCGTCACTATCTATGGCTAATTCTTGCTGCTGAATGTTCTGATTGCCGTTAGGTATCCTGCACACATAACCCTTCTGCGTGGAAATCATGAAAGTAGGCAGTTGACGCAGGTATGTTCTTGTATGTGAAAAACAGATAATTGTATACAGTTCATAGTTTTTCTGATTTAGGCCACTTCGGTTGCAACTAAATGCCCTGAGTGGCTGAGTCCAATATATGTTCCCATGATTCTTGTGTTCTGCTTTTTACTTGTGAGCTCAAAAGGTGTTGTATTCATCTGGTTACCCTCCACTGTGCTCTCTTAAAGCACTTTTGGCCATCTGTGGGAAGCATAATATTTAATTTTTGGTAGCATGAAACAAATTCAGTACATGCTGATTTTATTCTAGGGGAAACAGTGCTCTTACTGATACTGTATCTGTGATTTAATCTTGGCTATGTGAATCTAGGAATGCAAGTTACTCATCCATGATTATTGAAGTCTTATGCTTCTCAAGATAACATTATCTGGTAATCAGCCTGTATGTCATGCTTAGGTTTTCTTTAGCCAGTGCCTGTTAAACTACCTGTCAACATGGCTCTTATTTTTTGTGTTTTTTCCTCTGGTTGTGACTTCAAATGGCTATATCTTTTAGCTCTCGATTTACATTGCATGCTTGTATCCATACTGTACCACAAATAGCCGAAAACACTTGACATGTTTTAGCTTATCATGCAGGCATACTAATAATACTGTGACTTATCTTTAGGTGTATGGTTTCTATGATGAGTGTCAGAGGAAGTATGGCAACGCCAATGCATGGCGGTATTGCACTGATGTTTTTGATTACCTTACACTATCAGCAATCATTAATGGCCAAGTAAGTTCCTCTAGGGAAAAATTACAGGTTGTCATTTCATGTTATTTTGGCCAGTCATGCTTAAATTATATGCTGAATTCAGGTCCTCTGTGTTCATGGTGGTCTTTCTCCCGATGTACGTACTATTGATCAGGTCCGTGACTTCTCTTCTGTAACTTTCTTATAACCATCTGTGAACACATCTGTTTATGAACCCTTATGACCCTTCCCATTTTATGGGATTCTGAGTTTCATGTCTTGTAGGTTTGCCATACTTGGTGAATACAAAAGTAGAAATATTTTTCACATGGACTATAAAGGATATGCATAGCCTTAAGAATTACAGCTATTTGAAAACTTCACTGTTATCAGAGTGATATAAATAAAATGCTTTAGTGGATATATGCTGGAGTTTGGAAATTTTGAATAGTAAACAGCAGAAGGGGTATTTAATATGTTTTCAGTTATTTTGTTTTTTCTGTTCTTATTTTCAGCTGGTTGTGCTAACTGTACTTTTTTGGACATGTTTCTGATAGAATTTCCTTTGGTAGTAAGAATGCTTATCATCAATGAACTAGCATTGCTGACTCATTTTGTGAAGAATATTGAGCACATGATTCTGGGGTTGATTTGGTCCATAGCATTTCTGACTCATTTCTTGAAGAATAGTAGTATATGATTATGTGGATGGTTTTTATTTTGACTAAATGTTTCAATGAGATTGAAGCTTTGATTATCTTTTCTCCAGATACGAACGATTGATCGCAATTGTGAAATTCCCCATGAAGGTCCTTTCTGCGATCTTATGTGGAGTGACCCTGAGGAGATAGAGACATGGGCTGTTAGTCCCCGTGGAGCAGGTTGGCTGTTTGGATCGCGAGTCACAGCAGAGGTGTGTATACAATAATTTTATTTTATTATTCTGGACTGTTTTTTTATTCGCTCCTTGTGAATGTCTCCTTTTGCTATGCAGTTCAACTTTGTTAACGGTATCGAGCTAGTTTGCCGGGCTCACCAGCTGGTCCAGGAAGGTTTAAAGTACATGTTTCAGGAGAAGGGCCTTGTAACTGTGAGTTCTTGTTCACATATAGATTGGCACTCAGATATTGGTTGTATCACATTATAGTAGTATGCATTTGTATTTCAGTGTGACCATATTGAATTGTTATGATGCCCATATTAACTTCTCTTCTCTTCTCCAGGTGTGGTCTGCACCTAATTATTGCTACAGATGTGGCAATGTAGCTTCTATATTAAGCTTCGATGAGAAGATGGTATGATAGTTCTTTTGTCTACAAGGATTTGCTTGAAGCATTTTACACACCTGATTACTCTTGAGTCAATTTATACAATAAGTTTATCTCCATCATCAGTAGATTTTATTGTGCAGTTGTACAAGCAACTTTTGTACAGATAATTGTTTCTGATGTGCAACCAGAAGATATATTATGCAACCACTGTTTCTGGCTAATATTTTGGGATCTTTACCTTAGTGTAGATGTTATACAAATTAATGTTATGGTGCAGCTAAGTGGGGTCACCAGCTGCTGTCTTTTGCCATAATGCATCAAGGTTATGTTGGACATTTTCTATATACTTCTTCCGTTCCAAATTATAAGTCGTTTTGGCTTTTCTAGGTACATAGCTTTTGTAATGCACATAGATATATGCTATTTCTAGATACATAGCAAAAACTATGTACCCAAAAAAAGCCAAAAATGACCTATAATTTGAAATAGAGGGAGTACTTGCTAGTTATATGCAGAGATTGGACCTGAAACAAGGAATAAAGTTATGTAGGGGGAGGGTTTCAGTTACCGTCCATGGAATAAACGAATTGTTGTCTAAGCGCATCAACCATGTTAGTTTCAGTTAATCCCCAAACTGAGGGGATTGGAGGGGATTGAGGGGATTAAATCCCCTACAACTTAATCCCCTCAATCCCTCCAACCCCTCGATTTGGAGATTAACTGAACAAGGCCTTATTTGGGAAACAAATAAACCATTTGAGATTTAGTAGTTAATCAGCATTATGCCTATTGTGTCTTTGCTGAGGTGTAGAACAGTAGAAGTTGCCATGAAAAGTGAAATAAATTCAGTTTTTCGGTAACTTAGGACCTCTTAGTTCTTTTTGTGTGGTCATCTCCGGTTGCTCGCAGGTTGCAAGGGGCCAACAAGTTTTGTCCCACTGCTTTCTCAAGTTGGCCAGTAGTGTTTCATGAGATTTATGACCAATGCTGATTTACAATATATTTTGCTCTCTTTTACCAGGAAAGAGATGTCAAGTTCTTCACAGAGACTGAGGAGAACAACCAGATGCGAGGCCCAAGGACTGCAGTCCCATATTTCCTCTGACTTCAATTGTACAATTTTAGAAGTCAATATTTAAATCTGTAAGGGCTAAAGATCAATCAGATGTGTTTATTGTTGTAGGTTCAGATCATAGTGCAATCTGATGCAATTTGATTTCTGTTTTCTTTTGACCACATGTACATTAGACCATCGGGAGTGTCATATGTTCCTGTATTCCTTCAGTGACACTGTCAAAGTTTTGTTTATGATTTAGTTCGCGTGCTATTCATTTTGGACCGCGCTTGCGTTGTGCAGCAGATGAGTCACGCTTGGAATATCATTTGAGGTCGTTCGTTCACGTAGCAAGATACTTTCGTGCACGCAGCTTCTGGCATATATTCATTTAGTCGAATGGCTCCTGGTATATGTTCTGTAAACCAAGTTTGATTCTGCACGATGGGCAACTCTTTACTCGCAATTATTTACCATGTGAGACGCACCTAGCGTATCACATACGGATGTATACTGATCGTCCAAGAAGATAAGATAATACCACAACATTCGTTGATAGAGAAGTTTCCTCCGGTGTAAATGGGTGCACAAATAAGGCCAAAAGATCTACACGAGGGAGCATGGAAACTGGTGTCTGCTGGTGAAAGTTGATGGAAACAATTTAGTTGGAGAGGATTTTGGTTTCACTCTGTTATTTGACCTATGGAACTCATTATCAGTGGGATAAGGGTTACTTTCAGCTAGAAATATATCAAAGAAAATCTTATTTTATCATAAACTTGGTCTAAAATCCTCCCTCCTCCCAACCACACTCCCCCTCCCCTCCCCCCCCCCAAAAAAAAAGGCTTTTATGATTATATTGGTAATAATCTTATTTTATGATTATAATGTGGCAAGGAGCATTGTTCAGAGCAAGCTCAATAGACCATGGGGATGAAATAGATGCTGGATGAAATAGACCATGCCTCGGCCCCGTTCGCTGGTCTGAAACTTAGCTAAAAAACACTGTTTCGGCTGGTTTGTTGTGAGAGAAAAACACTGTTCGGCTGGTTTGGTGAACAGTAACTTGAGAGGGGAAACACCTGGCTGGTCCGAACCAGACCAGCGAACGGCACCACATGTTTTTTGAAACATGTCCGGTAGTTTTGCCTTCTCATCACACCCGGCTGGCGGCTGTGGGCCTGTGGAGGTGTGATGAGACCGGACACCGGAGGTGTGTACAGCAACGGGAGGCGACGTGGCTGCGGCCGCGACGGCAGGCAACGGCGCATGCATGACGAAGAGGCAACGGCGCGGAATATGGCGCGATCGATCGATTTTGCCGCGGGGCGCGGGGCTGGCTCCAGATCGCCGATTGGGAGCGCGGAAATCCAAGGACAGAGAAGGGAGTTTGATCTCGGGCGAGCGCAAATATTGTATTGGGAGTCGGAACTCTGTTGATCTCGGCCAGAAACAGGATTTCAGAAAACGATCCTACGAGTTGCTGGAGATGCTCACTCCCATCAACTGCAAAGGGAAACCGGCACGGCAGCTCGCCACAGGTTCCGCCGCGCCCCGCATTGCACCGTACGTACGTTCGGTTGCGCGCCGGCGCGGTCGCGGTCGCGAGAGAAGTTTTGCCTGCGCGCACGGCGTCTCCCACGCCACGTGTCGTGCCGCTTTTCCAACGGTGGGGAGAAGGCATTGCCCTCCGCAGCCGGTCTCCTTCCTCGCCCATCCGGCCGTCCCGCCGCCCGCCCGCCCGAACGAATCCTGGACCGCACGCGATACGCACGAATGATGGCCAGCCCGGGGTTTGGCAGCCCGATAGGCGACAGCGATGGCGTTTGCATCATCCTCCGCCCCATCTTTTTTTCGTTGGTTATTGTGTTTGGACGGCGCTCGCTCGTGCCGCGGCAGCAGGCGGCCTATGTGTTTTAGTTGCCGATTTTTTTTTAAAAATGGTACTGTAGTATTTTTATGGTTATTTGGTAATTAGTGTCATTCAATCATACCAATTAGAACTTTAAAAGATTCGTGATCGTTAATTTCGTCTAAACTGTGTAATTAGTTTTATTTTTTATTTATATTTAATACTTTATACATGCGTCAAAGATTCGATGTGACGAAAAATCTTAACAGCCAAACAGACACGTAGATACATGTCTTCAGATCAGATCGTCGTCGTCGTCAACGTGAACCCGAGCAGCCAAACGGTTGTGGGGTTGTGTCAGAGCGCACTTGCTCGATGTGGACTGCTCTGCTCGTGCGGGGCGGGGTGTGTGTGTGTGTGTGTGTGTGTGTGTGTGTGTGTGTGTGTGTGGTGGAGGGGCGCCTGTCCTCGCTGCACAAATGGTCAAACAATACAATGGACTGAGCCTGCGGGGGCGGCGGCGGGCATCATTCGGCAGTCTGCTGTTCTTGTCCCTTTTCCCAATTCTCACGATCATTCAGGTGGGGGCAGCGCTAGGAAATTACTAATTTTTTTATTCCTCGTTCCGACTCGCCCCCACTTCATTTAATACCGTCAGTGGTCTTTCGTTTAGGCCACGTTAGGTTCAAAAAGTTTCTCGACGAGTGCTACGTCAGCCATCACATCGAATCTTTAAGATTTGTGCATAAAGCATTAAATATAGATAAAAAAAAATTTAATTATATAGTTTAGTTAAAAATCGTGAGACGAACGTTTTAAGCCTAATTAATCCATAATTAAACATTAATTATCAAATAAAAACGAAATAGCTACGGTAGCTAAATTCTCAAATTTCGCCAAACTAAACGCAGCCTTAATAATGGATTCAAAACTCCATCGAATGCACGCATGTTTTTCTTTTATGTGGCGAAAAATTGAATGCACGATAAGTACGTTACATTGACCAGCAACGGATTGATAGTTTGATACTTCACCAGACTTCAGTGTTCAGTCCACTTCTAACTTCTAAGCAGTATCAGTGTTAATTTAGCCTATTTCAAGGAGGAAAATATAGGAGGAAAATATAATCTTGTTCTTTTTTGTTTGGCAGAATGATTAGAGGGAGAAGTGATAATGCAGCTCTTGGTGCGATTGAGCAGTGTATTATAAGGGGAAAAAATAGAACAATGCAGTTGGGGACACCTGGTAGGATCGGCGTGATAAAGCCACTTGGTTTCGCCAAAATCAGTTTCTGGATTGAGCTAAACAAAGCCGAGAACGAGCAAACAGAGCGAGGAGAGATGCCGAGCAGATCGAAACAGCGGCACATCCTACTTGGCAGATGCTCTGGACCTCTTGATATGGTTACAACAAAATCGCAGAGGAGGAAAAAAACAGAAGAGGATGAAAAAAAAAAATGCCAGTAACTGACTAACTTACTTGGCGCTACCTCCTCCAATCCCTAGACGGCGGCGGCGGCGGCGATTGACGGGCCGACGCCGGCGGCGAGGGCGGCTGCCTCCCGTCCTGCCCCATTACCCGCCTGCGGGCACCGCTACCGCCGCCCTGCTGCAGGAACTCCCCGACCTCGGCGTCCGAGAACGACGAGGAGCCCCCCGGCGCGAGCCGCCGCCGGGGCCCCCGCCGCCGACACCTGCCGTAGCACCGCCGCGCGACGCGGAGCGGGGCGCGCGCCACGCAGCAGAGCACGGCCACGGGGAGGCACGCGCAGAGCACGCAGCACGCCGCCGCGCACTCCGCCATCGCCGCGCCGCTCCCGGCGGCGGCGTCCGCGGGGGGCGCCGCCGGGGACACGCTGGGCCCGCGCAGGCCTCCTCCTCCTCCTTCCTGCCGCTTCTTCGAGGCATCCTTCTTCCTACGCGCCGCCGCCGCCGGCTTGGAGTCCATGCCGTTGCCCTTGGCTGCTTGCGTTCCTCCCCTTGCCTTGCGCCTTGCTTCGCTTCCGGTGCGGGCGATTCGCGTAGGAGAGGAGGCGTGGGGGGTCGTGGCCTCGTCGTGGCTCGTGGGAAGGAGGGAGGTGGAGGTGGGAGGGGAATAGGGACGCAGGACGCTGCTGCGTTGTGCTTCTGTTGCTTCGCATTTAAATTCGGAAGGAAGGCATCTCATCTCGTGCGTGCGGGTCTTCTTTTTATCTCTGAACAGATATAAAAATTGATTCTCTTTTTCTTTGGGATAAAATTTGATTCTCCATCCAAAACAAAAGAGATAAACAAATTTCGATTCGAATTTTAGCAACTTATTCGCCAGCTTTTGGCCTTTTTGTTGAACAGCCGAACGCTAAGTGCTGGCGGCAGAAGTGTGTTTATAGCAGTTGGGCTGGATGCTTTGCCGTTGCACCCAACAGTTTGGCGTCGGTTCGTGCAACTCAGGTGCAAGATAAAGATTTCCCTCAAAAAAAAGCTGTAAGATAAGATATTATCCGGTCAAAACGTGGTCGTCTATTCTTCAATTCGTTCGATTGGATTCAATTATTCGTGGGAGTGCGGCTCGCGGGAGCGGGACTGCACTGCACGGCCGCACGGTGGAGGCCGGGGGTACACGAGTGCATCAAATAAAGTGTGGCCCGCACGAGGCTGCTTGGCCACTGAATCCTCATGGGCCCGATGGCGATGTTGCTGCACTAGCCACTAGGCCGGCATGCGCTTTGCTTTAGGCAGTATCACAGGGCACCTTCAGCTCTTTGGCAGTACAGTGCAAGTAAAAGTTTGGCCCATTGACCCTGCCTTTTTTTTTTCTTCTTTGGATTAACACTTGACCCTGCTTTGATCCTCACAGAAAAGCAGAGAACAAGGTAGGGCCGCTGCTGCTCTGATCCTCACAGAAAAGCAGAGAAGTAGGGCCGCTTGACAGCGTTACTTGAGCAGATTTTTTACGAGAAAGCCAAAGCAAAACTTCATATAGATTGAGATAGGAAGTAAATCAAAATCACGTCTCCATTTATAATAAGAGTTGAGAGTGAAAAAAAGGACCCACTCCGTATTCAACCCCACTAGAATTTCCCACCTATTTCTGTACGAAAATCGCTACATCTCAGAGAATCAAGGAGCTAGAGCTAACAATCAGTTAACGGAACTTTAGCAGATGGATTGTAGACATACGGTATCAAGATTATGACACAAATGTCAAAAAGATGCAATCTAAGTCTGGTCTGAATCTAAGTATCTTAAGATATGAACTATATTTACAAAAACAATAGTAACAACATTTATAACTCAAAAACATTCCTACTATGAAAATCTTATAATGATATTTATTTAGTATGATTAAAATTAATGCTTTACATGAATGTAGCCAAATTTAAGATATTTTGGCTTAACACCATGTTAGAATTATATGCTTTCTAAGACGGGGGAGCTGTTTTCTTTCTTGTTTCTTTGTAGGAAAAAATGTAAGTAGATGGTAGCATATGATTATCCCTAATTCCCTATTGACGCACGCACACCCACCCACCCACCCATGGGGGCAGTCCATAAAGATGATAGTTTTTTTTTTCTTGATGTATGAAATCACTACTATTGCAACTCCACTACTAGCTACTACTAGTATATAAGGAGTTGTTTTTATTGTTATTCTGATATCTTAATACATGCATGTGACACTGAACAAGACATCCACTGACCACTGTTTTATAGTAACTCTCTTGAAGAAATTAATAAAAAAAAAGATCCACACGTGCCAATTAACCATATTTGGCTAGCCATGACGCGATCAGTGCTCCGCGCCGGTCTCAGCCGCCTGCATTTTCTTGTAAAACACCACGATGTCCTCGACGGCAGGGGACGCGTCCCGGACGGCGTCCGCCGCCGCGAAGCGCTCCGCCCACGCGGCGAGCCGCGGGAACTTGGCCTCGTCGAAGAGGCTGGTGCCGGCCACCTCGTCCACGGCCTTGATCCACGCAAGGTAGCCGCCTAGCGCCACGTCGACGTACCCGATGCTGTCGCCGCCGAAGAAGGGCTTCCCCTCGGAGCTGGAGCACTCCGTGAGGGCCTTCTCAAGAGTCTCCACCGCAGGGATGGCGTTCTTGAACGTCTCGGCCCTGTCCTCCGCGGTCTTGGACTTGAAGAACGGCTCCCACGATGGGAAGAACTGCAAACAAATTATACACGTAGATCTAAAATGCTTAGCAATTACATTTTTTTTTAGAAACTCTTAGCAGGTAGCTTTGTGCTAAGGGAGGTTTGATAGCACAAAAGGCGGCCCAGAAGAGAAGCTCACCTTGTCGTCGATGTAGGCGGCCCAGAAGCGAGCCCTAGAGCGCTCGTACGGATCGGACGGCAGGATGGCAGGCCCGGCCCACGCCTCGTCCACGTACTGCACGATGACGAGCGACTCGCACACGGGCGCGCCGCGGTGGATGAGCACGGGCACCTTCCCGTGCACCGGGTTGGAGCTGAGCAGCAGCTCGCTCTTGTGCTCCAGGTCCTCCTCCACGTACTCGTACCCGGCCACACCCTTCACGGCCAGCGCCTGCTTCACCCGGATGCAGTACGGGCTCAGGCACTCCCCCAGCAGCCGCAACTCCACTCCCGCTGCCGCCGCCATTGCTCGTCAACTCAGCGCCTTGCGTGCGTGCCTGTAAACTATGAGTAGTGTGTTACTGCTGTTGTTGCTCTGCCTGTAGCTCTCTGCCGGGGGGGTACATATTGAGCTCGGATCACGCGGAGGTCAACTTGGCTGCCATTGCAAAATTACGGAATTGTTGCCATCTTATCGAGCGGTTGGTGGTGGATATATGCGAGCATAAATTATGCAACAGATTAAGTTTAATATACTCCAAGCGATTGCGATTGTTGCTTTGTGGCTGCATACTATATGCGAGCATAGAATAAATTATGCAATAAATTAAGCTTGAGCGATGAGCCATTGACGTTTCCTTTTGACTGTCCGAGCGGACGGTTTGGAATTGGTGACGACGAACTGCTTTTGTTACCTTAAACAATGCTACTAAGTTCATGGCAAATGCAATCAGGCGTCAGCGCTGACGCCCATCACGTTCGGGACTTCGGGTTTTATTTGTTAGGATCGATGGATGAGTACCTTTCTGTGTGTAACCCGTAGATCCGTAGTTAGGCTCCTTAACCTTTCGGAGCTTCACCGCAGCGGCAGCGTGGACGCCGATGCCGCCCTAGATGCAGCCTCGCGGACGCCAATTACTTCGGCGTCTTGATGAGGAGGCGTGGTGACGATCTGATGGGGGGGCGACGGCGGTGACTGCAGTGGGAGACGGCAATGGTGGGGCACATCCTGTCACGGCAAAGACGGCCTTTAGATCGGTATTCGGGTTTTCAGTAAGTGGGTGTGGCGGCTCCGGCGAACCTCCTTCTTTGAGCTCGATCCCCACCTTCCCCTTTTATGTGTCTTTGTGCGCAGGGCCCACCAACCGATTAGGGTTGGGCTCCCCGATCGAGAGCCGAGATAAGGGTCCAATAGGCCGTTGGGCCTATTAGTGGAGATCAACTAACATTCTCCCCTTGATCTCATTCCATCTTTCACTTTCATATCATTTACTTTTGTTCATTCCATTACTGATTAGCTCATAGAGCATGTCTCATCGTCACGGTCCATTGCCGATAGACTTAACAAATACAACTCACTACTACTTGCAAAATAGATACTTATCTTTGGGCCTTCTTTTGTCCAGAATATTTTAGGCTTTCCCTTAAACCCAAGCTAGCTACATGTTCTCTGAACACCATGTCCTCTGAACATGTTGGGTGGTAAGCCTTTTGTAAGCGGATCCATGAACATCCTTTCTCTTCTTATATGCTCAAGACTTATGACTTGATCCCGGACTTAATCTTTCACAACATAATACTTTATGTCAATGTGTTTGGCAGCACCACTTGACTTATGTTGTGAGCATACTGTACTGCCAGATTATCATCGCAGTATTACTTTAAGTGGTCTATAGATGTCGTCAACCACCTTTAAACCGGGTATGAACTTCGTTAGTTAGTTCACCTGCCCGTTGCCTCATAACACGCTACAAACTGTCATACATTGTGGACGATGTACTGACGGTTCGCATTGAGCTTTTCCATGAAATAGCTCCCCTTTGCGAGATGATAGAAAATCCACGTCTGGATATGCATTCACTCTCGCATAATCAGAATCTGAATATCCCACCATGTGGAGTGAATCAGATCTTCTATATGTCATCATGAGGTCTTTCGTTCCTTGCAAATAACGCAAGACTTTCTTTATCAATTTCAGTGTTCTATTCCAGAATTCTTCTGGAATCTGCCAAGTAAAACCCGGTAACAAATGCCAAGTCAGGGCGTGTACATACTTGAGCATGTTGCAAGCTTCCGACAGCTGAAGCATATGGAACCACTTTCACTTTATCGATTGAGCTCATATTGGTTCCTGGGGCATTTAAAATCCCTATATCTGTCGCCCTTGACTATAGGAGCAGGTGAGGGACTACATTTGTGCATACTGAATTTCTTTAAGATCTTTTCCATGTATGCCTTTTGTGACAGTCCTTATACCCTTTTTCTTCTATCTTGGTGAATCTCGATCCCTAGAACGAACAAGGCTTCGCCAAGATCTTTCATATCAAATTTCTTTGTCTCCAGTAGTAGACTGACATCACTACTAGCAAGTAAGATATCATCTATATACAGGACAAGGAAGATAAACTTCTCATTCTTAAACTTTGCTTAGACACAATTGTCCTCTACATTCTCTTTAAAACCCAAAATTCTTTATTGTCTGATCAAACTTCAAGTACCACTGTCTTGAAGCTTGTTCTAATCCATAAATGGATTTCTTTAGGCGGCATCCCATTCGTTCTTTTCTTTCCATGACAAAACCTTCCGGTTGTGCCATGTAAACATTTTCCTCCAAGTCTCCGTTGAGGAATGCCGTGTTTACATCCATCTGATGTAATTCTCAATCGTAATGTGCCACTAATGCTATTATTATTCTGAAAGAATTATTATATGAGACTGGAGAAAAGGTCTCATTGTAATCAATCCTTCTCTTTGCACAAAAGCCTTTTGCCACAAGTCGGGCTTTATATCTCTCTATATTCCCTTGAGAGTCAAGTTTTGTCTTGTAGACCCATTTACGACCCTCTTGTTTTTGACTCCTTTAGGAATTATTTTCAAGTCCCAAACTTTATTGGCATTCAATGATTTCATTTCATCTTCCATGGCCTCAAGCCACTTTAATGATTGATCACTACTCATGGCTTCTTCAAACGAGGCGGATCATCCTCCATTTGAAATTCTTTAGTGTTGTACACTTCATAATCGGCAGAATAGCTGATTTTCTAACTCTTTGAGACCTACTAGGGGCCTCCACATTTGGCACATCTTCTGCTTGAGGCTGTTGTTGCTCCCCTCATGTGTGGCAATAGGTTCTATAGAATCTCAAGAACAGGTTCCTTATCGTCATTCATTGTTGCCACAGTGGGATAACAACAGTCTTTGGCACCACAAAGATCTAACACTGTCGGTGCAGCTACAGCAGGTAGTGAGAAAATTGGCTCATAAATCATTGGAGTGGGCACTTACACCCGCTTCACTTCAAGGTCAATTTCTCGAGCTACCATGCTCCCCCTCATCTTTTCATCTTCTAAGAAAACAGCGTGTCTCGTTTCCATAACCTTTGTATGTCTCTCTGGACAGTGGAAAACGAAAACTTTTTGACTTTTCTGTGTAGCCAATAAAATGGCACCTTACTATTTTGGGATCTAACTTCTCAATGTTTGGGTTAAATACTTTAGCCTCAGCAGGGCTCCCCCACACACGCAAGTGGTTTAGTGAGGGTACATTTTCTGTCCACAACTCATACGGTGTTTTGGGCACCGATTTACTTGATACTCTTTTGAGAATATGAATGAGGTTTTTAACGCCTCCATTCACAGGTTCAACTGTAAGGTGGAGTAACTTATCATACTGCCCACCATATCCATCAGGGTACGATTGATTCTTTTAGCTATTCTATTTTGCTGAGGTTCGCCCGGTGTAGAATACTGGGCTACTTTGCCATTCTTTTAGGGTATGCTGACCGTAGTACTCCCCTACGGTCAGACCTGACTATCTTAATCTTTAATATCTTAAATTTATCCAATACATCTTTTCTTTCTTTGATTGGATAAATATCGTCATAATGGGAGTAAACATCTGTGAATGGATCATAACCATCCACACTCTTTACAGGAAATCTGACCACATATGTCAGTGTGAATAATCTGTAAAATTCTCAAGCTTCATTTAGCATCTTTCTTAATCTTCTTTACATACTTTTCTTTTATGCATTCTCTGCATTGTTCTAAATCTGAGAGCTCTAATAGAGGAAGAATATCATTCTTAACGAGTCTTTCTATTCTCCCCCTCGAAATATGGCCTGAACGATAGTGCCATAATTTCGACAACGCATCGTGAGCTCTCTTATGCCACCATTTTCAGAGTAACACTCTGTCACCAGCTGCTTTATCAGCTGAGTAGCATATGTCTTTGAAGTGCCAGTGAACTGACTCTTTATTCTATCGAGATACTTGGTGACTGTGTCACATTTTTATATTGAGCCCACAATTGTAGGTTCAATCATGTTCTTTATCACAGTCAAACATTTTCTTGTTTGCAGTGACCCACTTCCTATGAAGATCTTTCGGGATTTAAAATCCCTTTCTTTAGTTGCCCAAGTGGCATCTTTTGTCTTCCTCACCGGTGCCACAAACTCAGTGGAACACGGTGAGGTGACTACCTAGTTCACCTTAAACAAGATGAAAACCAGGTCAAAACTTTTCTTAATCATAAAAATAACATCATTTGCATGCCTTGATTCCAACGTTGGTCAAAATCAAAACATACAATTATTCTTATACACTAATTCTACATCACCGTTGGGCAGAAATAGAATTAATGCATAAGTCTTTAACTTTCACAACTGTTCTTACACACTAATTCTACATCACCGTTGGGCAGAAGTAGAATTAATGCTTAATTCATTAAAATTAACAACTTTTCTTATACACTAATTCTACATCACCGTTGGGCAGAAGTAGAATTAATGCATAAAACATTAACATTACGATATTGTTATTAACAACGTTGGTCAGTAAATAACAACATCATAATCATATCAAAACTCTTTTTCTCCAATTAAATACCACATTGGTTCAAAATAACTGGAGAATTAACAATTTCTTTAGCAGCGGAATAACTTTCTTTTTCTCCAATTAAATACCACGTTGGTACAAATTAACTGGAGATTTAAACAATTTCTTTGACTGTGGAAAAACTCTCTTTTCCTTTAATTTTACCAACAGGGAAAATTTCTTTTTCTATTTTCTTTAATCCATTAATCAATTTCCAGGAAATAAACATTTTCTGGAAAATCTTTTCTTTTCTCCAGTTAAATACCACATTGGTACAAATTAACTGGAGAATATACTTTTTCTTTATCAGCAGAAAACTTTACATCAATTTCTTGAATTTTACCCACAGGTAAAAAATACTTTTCTATTTTTCTTTTGAGCCAATTTGCATTTTTCAATTTTCTAGGAAAAGAAAAAACGAAACTGGGCTCACTCTTTACTCTCGGCAGCCCAAAACCCATGAAGCCATTTCGGCCGCCTCTCTCCAGCAGCATACACCAGATGCCGCAGGCCTTTGCACAGCAACTCCGGCTCAAAGGGTGCCAGTGTGCCGCGCTCCCTTTGGGCCTCATGAGCCCATGCATCCGGCGCCGTTGGATCTGATCCGACGGCCGTCCGATTGTTTCGGCCTAATAAAACCCAATTCCGGCCGCGGTCGCCAAAACCCTAGTCTCATTCGGCACTTGCCCTTCTCTCTCTTCGCTCTCTCTCAGCGCCGCTCTCTCCTCTCTCTCCCTTGCTCTCTCTTCTCAGCCGCATCGGAACCGAGCCAGACGAGAGCGAGTGGTGGAGCGAGGCGGGCATCCATGGCACCGCCGCCCGCGCCCCCCTGCTGCGTCTGCGCTCCAATGGTGAGCGCCACGCCACCGTCAGCGGCTTGGCCATGGTGACCTTTTGCCGAGCCCGGCGAGCAAGCAGCAGACTTGTTCGGCGGCCTTTCTTCTCTCCCATGCCGTGAAAGGCCGTCATGGCTTTTCTTTTCCTGCTGCCAAGCGAGGGGTGGATCCGTTCTAGGGTTAGGTTTAGGGTTCGTACGCCGACCCTGTTCTTTTCCCCTTTCTTTTCTGTTTTTCCTTTCTTTTCTTTGACATCCGAATGTATCTAGGGTTAAATTCTGTTTTCTTTTATTTCTTTTCTTTCTTTTGATTCAACTGATTCGGTTTTTCCCTTTGGAGTTCATCCGAATCGAATCGGGATCTAGGGTTAGGGTTCGATTCCAGCCCCTGTTCTTCTTCCTTTTCTTTTCGAAGTTCATCCGAATGGGAAAATAGGGTTAGGGTTAGGGTTCCGACCTTCTTTTCTCTTTCTTTGGATTTTTCTTTTCTTTTCGGATTAGGGTTAATCCGAAACCGTTTTTTTTCCTTTCGGTTGAACCAATTGCTTTTCTTTCCGAATTTCTTCCCTTCCCCTTCTTTGTTCATCTTCACTGATCCGAACACGGATCTGGTCTTTCTTGCCGTGTCAGTGCGGCACTTTTCCCGCGCGGTAGCGGTGGTGACCGGGTTCCAGTGAAATCCACCACCCCCGGTCTCTTTTCTTTGCTTTTACCCGGTTAGGGTTAGGGATACACATAGGTAACCTTGGCTCCGATACCATTGTTAGGATCGATGGATGAGTACTTTTCTGTGTGTAACCCAGAGATCCGTAGTTAGGCTCCTCAACCTTTCGAGCTTCACCGCAGCGGGCAGCGTGGGCGCCGATGCCGCCCTAGATGCAGCTCCTCGCGGGACGCCAAAGGCTTTCAGCGTCTTGGATGAGGAGGCGTGGTGACGATCTGATGGGGCGGCAAGCGGTGACCTGCAGATGGGAGACGGCAATGGTGGGGCACATCCGTCGTGCTGGCAAAGACGGCCTTTAGATCGGTATTCGGTTTTTACAGTAAGTGGTGTGGCGGCTCCGGCGAACCTCCTTCTTTGAGCTCGATCCCCACCTTCCTTTTATGTGTGCTGTGCGACAGGGGCCCACCAACCGGATTAGGGTTGGGCTCCCCCGATCAGGGAGCCGAGATAAGGGCCCAATAGGCCGTTGGGCCTATTAGTGGAGATCAACTAACATTATTAATCTTTCCTAGCGCGTATATGGGATGCTAAGTTCATGGCAAATGCAATCAGGCCTCAGCGCTGACGCCAATCACGATTCAGGTACGACACGGTGGCTGCTCAGGAGACTAGGGCCGTTTCAGATTAATAGATTCAGACAAAAAGTAAGTTGGTGTGCGTGCATGATTTACCAGCTAGTCACCATGGTTTACACGGATCATGGTTTCGGTTCCTAAGTGAATCACCTTTCGAGCTAATTTAGAAGAAGGGGAGCTAAACCCAGGGAGAGAAAACCTCCCATGGAGAACTAATTATCTTATTGAAATGATATCCTCATGGATTGCTCACCCTGGAAATTCTAAGAGGATTTGAGTTTCCAAACTAGCCCTTCATGCTTAGGTGACAGGGACAGTTTGAGATGATATATTGAACTATTTCACGTAGTCATGCTTACATTTGTATAAGTTCAGAGTGTCTTTATCGAAAAAAGAAAGCGCAGATTGTAACCTAACACATACGCACATCAGTTCGAACAAAATGCTTTGCAATTCTATGTCACCCCATTTCTTTAGAAAAAAAATACATGAACCATTCGTGATACAGGTATGAGGAAATACAAATCAATGCCCTTAACTACGCGGATAAGGGAGGAAGAACATTTCTTATTTTCAGAATAAACGGTTGTTTCTTCTTGTTTGATTTCAGGAGAAAACCACCGGTTGGTTCTGCTGATGGGGTAGATGTCCTTGTTAATATAACCATGGGAACTGCTATAATCCAGGCCCATGAAGTTTCAAATTTTTTTCAGGTGATGATACGCCCCAGCTGATCCAGCCGCTGTTCATCTTCTTCCTCGGTATTTCTTCCAACCCGCGTCCCGCGTCCCGCCCACTCCCCGCGGCCGCTGCTCACCGCCTCGCCGCGGCGCGGTAGGGTTTCGCCGGAGCTCCGCCACCACCGCGGAGCTCCGGTGAGACCCTACCGCGCCCACGGCGGCCTTCCTCTTCCCCTCCCCCTCCCGCCACCGCTTTCTTCTCCAACTCCAGCAAGAATGGCCACGACACCTCCGTTCCAACCTGGTCCGGCTGCCTCCATCACCGCTAGGACCCGAATCCGCCACTATTACATGTTGCCGGACCTCTTTTTCGGGAAAAAGTGTATAAACTAGCGGGGTGATCTTAGTTCCACATGTAAACATATGACATCATGCATGTGTAATAACTTTGAATGATGTTGTTGATGATGGACGACACCAATGAATGTGTTTATATGTTTGTGCTCGATATACGTAATATGTGTTTATATGTCTTGATTCTGCTTTTATATGTGTTTGATTTGTGAAAATAGATTTCAAATTCAAATCAAATTGCCGAGGCTATTTTTTAAATGGGAAAATATTAACGGAGGCGGGCATGTAACAAAAGGCCGCCTCCATTAATCATGTATTTGTGGTGGGCGCATTACGGCGACCGCCTCGGTTAAAACATTAATGGAGGCGAACAAGTTAGGGCGATCGCCTCCATTAATTAACATTAACCGAGACGGTTGCCTTAAGATGCCCGCCTCCGTGAAATGATTAACCGAGGCAGGTAGGGCAACCGCCTTAAGACGCCCGCCTCAGTGAAATGTTAATCCATTAATTAACATTAACCTTTGATTGGAGGTGGTTGCAATGCCCGCCTCCATCAACCCTTTTTGTCCGTCTCCGTTAAGATTTATGTAGTAGTGTGCCCATCACTGTCCCCACCACATGTCCGCCCTGCCCTCCCCAGAACCCCTTCTATGCCCGCCGAATTTGGAGAAGAAAGAGGGAGAGACGGAGAGGGAGGCCGCCATCACCATCACCGTCTCCTTCTTCGGGTGTGGGCGCGGGAACGAGCGTCGCGGGCGTGGGCGTAGCCAGGCACCTCAGATGTAAGCAGCCTGTTCGGTTGGCTAGTTCGTTTCGTTGCTGGTTCGTGAAGAAGTACTGCTGGTTGGTTTGTGTGAGAGAAAAATACTATTCTAGCTGAAAATTTACGATCGTTTACGACAAGCCACAGCCAAACGAACAGGTTGAAGAAGCGTGAATAACCACCGTCCGCTACGCTCACACTGTCGTGCACACACCAGCGGACAATGCCAGAATCATCAATAGCAAATATCTTTTTTGTTTCCAAAAACATTCTATTGGTTTATCGCCTCGACAGAACCAAAGCTTTATTCATGGTTATATGCTTTGAACCCTAATAATACACATCTGTTAATAACGCAGAGAAAATGCACGATCATTTAGCTTGCTGTTACAGTGATCAGTAACCAGCTGGTGCAGCAGGTGAAGCCCATTTAGCCAGAAACGCCTTGTAGTGCTCCAAGAGCCTCCCGCCGTCCGGTATGGCCTCCTTCACGGCGTCCACCGCCAGGAAGCGCTCCGCCCACGCCGCCAGGGCCGGGAACTTGGCCTCGTCCAGAAGGTTCACACCGGCCACCTCGTCCACCACCTTGATCCACAGCACGAAGCTCCCGAGCGCTATGTCCACGAGCCCGACGGCGTCTTCGCCGAAGAAGGGTTTCCCCTTGGAGCACTCCCTGAACGCTCGCTCCAATGTCTCTAACACGGGGACGATGCCGGCGAACGCCTCTGCTATCTTCTCCGCCGTCGTCGACCAGAACAGTTGCCTCCACGCCAGGAAGAACTGCAAGCACATCACAAAGAATCAATCCATCAACTAGCAATGCCTATGGTCCCAGATTCTCAGCGCAAGAAGCAAAATAGCTTGCAGCATCTGCACCAACGCATTCTTGTACCTTGTCGTCGATGTAGGCTGCCCAGAAGCGAGCCGTGGCGCGGTCGTGGGCGTCGGCGGGGAGGAGATGAGGAGTCCCGGTGCTTACCAGGCCTCATCGACGTACTGCACGATGACGAGCGACTCACACACCGGGCGGCCGTCGTGGATGAGGACGGGCACCTTCTTGTGCACCGGGTTGAGCTTCAGCAGGAGGTCGCTCTTGCTGAAGAGGTCCTCCTCGATGTACTCGTAGCTGAGCCCCTTCAGCCCCAGCGCCACCTTGGCGCGGATCACGTAGGGGCTGTACCACGAGCCCAGCAGCTGCAGCTCGCCTCCGGCCGCCATTGCAGTCTTGCACTTGCAGGCGGCTTGTTCGACGCTGTTGGAATTCTCGATAGTTTCGCGACAGCGAAAGGGGCGAACCAGTCATCATATATTTATTAACTGATCTGGGTTAGGTGGTCATCAACTTTGAATCGTTGACTGGTGTGGTGAGTGGTGAACCGACGTTGCTTATCAGCGGGGCAGCAGGCAGGCAGCGATTTTCGTCAGCTCTGTCGTGAGCAGAGGAAAGCAGATCATAAAGTGGACAGCTGGCCATTGAATGAATCATATGAGGACACTTAAGCAACACTAATCTGTCTCGATTCTTCTAAAACCAGCAATCTATGGAGTGTTCGGCTGGACTGAATTCTGGCTCGTTTGGCTTATTTTTCCAGTCAGAGCAATATTTTTCTTTCACAACATTCTAGTATAAACAGTGTTTTCTAGTATGAACAGTGAAATTTCAGTCCAGCCGAACACTCCCTACGTGATCCTATATGGTTACATCGGTACATCCTAGCCGATTGACACTGTCATGTTCTTTTTAACTTATCATCCTAGCTTCTCATATATAGTATGGTGTTTTTCTCTCACAATAAATCAGTTTTAGTTGGCTTATCAGCCTGGCTTATCAGTGACGGTGAGATGGCAGGATAGAATTGTTTTCTCCATAGCGGCTCTGTTGAAGATAAGGACGACAACTACGACGTCAGCATCTTCATCAGTATAACATGGAGACTTTTATTTTCGGACAGCGACATCAAGACAGAGATGGTGTCGTCGCCATGGAATAATTTTCTTCAATCTCTTTTCGTTTTATCGTTGTTAGATCTAGTCACGATGAAGGATTATGGAGATTAAGTTTCAGATCGGTCTTTTTCATTCTTCGGTGGCAGAAAGAAGAAGAAGGAAGACACCAGAAAAAAGAAGATTCTCAACTTCACCTATATGAATGTTGGCTTTCGTTCGTTGGGCATCTGTTCTCAGATCTTTTGTCGAGGTTTGCCTATGCGCTCATCCATACTGCAAAGCGTTGTACATGTTTGGGTTTAAGATCTGGAGCTATTCACAACATAAGTACAATTTAGATAAAAATTAGTTTTTATATATTTATATAATCCAGAGCGCTTACCCGGCTATTATCTACTATAATTCGTAAAAAAAGTTGGACAAGATCATGGGTACGATTGGACCGGAGCAAATCAACCCCACATGGCCACATCGGATCCGACCATAACGGTACTGCCGATGAATTTCTTTTCACCCTCTCCACTGTTCTCAAAGTTTAATTTTCATCACTCTCTCTAGTCCCTTCAACTCTAAAATTGTTCTTCATCGTAAAAAAAACCTTTAGATTGTTTATTTTGGTCTCTGGACGGTTCAAACATCGATTTAGTTTACATGACATCACATTAGCCGTCGTACGTATCGCTATGTCAGCAGCAAGAAGATAAAAACGTGTTTATAGTTCAGAATGGTAAATTGGTTACAGATATATTTTTTTAGAATTTTCTAAACGTTTTTTCATGAAAAGATATACAGTTAAAAAATCCTAAAATCTTGTTTAATCTTAGAAAATACATAGATAAATTATTTTAGCTAAAAAGTATGAAAACAATTTTTTTTTTCTAAAAACATGCTCTACCTTGTGGTGCCTAGGTTGAAATTAGTTGAACTTCTATAATCACTTTTCAGTATTTATTTGCTAGTGGATGCTCTGTTACAACTAGTCCATATGAGACTAAGGCCTCTCAGCACTCAAATTTTTGGACTGTCAGGTCTAAAATCAAGATCTTAGATCAAATCGCTTACTCTACCATGTTTTGTAGGGCTCCGTCCTCAGCTTTTTGGAGTGAATTATGTGAAATGCTACCAAACAGATAAAATATAATTGGATTCTAGTGAAGAGATGATAAGGGTCATTTCACCAATTACATTACAAGCTGGGAGCTAAAAAACAACTCTGCTCCCCGACACTCCCATCTAATCGCCACCAGAATCATTTCTCACCTGCTCAATATCTTGCTCCCCCACCAGAATTACTCCACTAGAGAATCAATGAGTGGAGCTTTACTAAATTGGTCCTTACATCTTTCCTCTTCTTTCACCACTCACACTCGACCGTGACCATCTATGCCTCTCGCCCCCGCCACCTTCACCTCCCTGCCTGGCTCCGGCGGTGCCCTTGCCAGTGGATTCACCGTCCGCCATCACATCCCATCGCTACAATCAATCCAACACGCCTACTTCCCGCCATCTTCTTCATCTCTGCCTCGGCTCCCCCGCCATCAACCCCCTCATGTCGGCTCCGGTGGCGCCTCGCTGCCTCCATCGCCGTCCATGACCTCTCCCACGCCAACTGGCTCGTCAGGCTATCAACATCACAGGTTTGACACCATCGCTAGGCCAGCTTGCCCCTGCCCCTGTTCCCTAGATTTTCTTCTACCCGTAGCCTGAACATCGAATCCTCAAATCCTAATCTCACCGAATATATGCTCACCAAAGCTGAAAAACATGCCGGAGAAAGGGGGAGAAACAAGGTTGGCGTTTGACGATTGGAGGAGAATTTGGGTGTTAGGGCACGTTTGGTGGTGCTCCATCTATAGCCAAAATAGCTTCAAATGTGGCTTCTATAATGAAATAGTTTTTATAATTTTTTCTTATCTCCAGCTTCACTAGTTAGAAAAGTCTTTCATAAAATAGTTTCTCCAAATAATAGGTAAAATGCACAAAATGTCCATAATGCCTTCTATTTTTTTCTTTTCTTGTTTTTCCTTATTTATTTCTCCTTTAGTTTCTTTTTGACTTTTTCTCCTCTGGTTTATCTCTTACTCTTCCTTTTTATTTCTCTATTTCCCTTATCCTTCCTCGTCCCAACGTCAGTTTGCTCGCCTGCACAACGCCCCTCCGCTCCCCATGCTTGTCTCAGCGCCTTTTTCCTTCGCCTACCTCATTTTGCTATCCTCCTCTTACTCTGTCGCCCTCCACTTCATCTCCAACTCCTGTTGCCTTCTCCCCATTCGTTGGCCAGATTACTCCGCCCCAGGCACTCGACCCCCCGTTGGCTCTACGCCTCACCTCCTCCTTTTTCTAGGCTGGAGGCAATTTGTCCCTAGGCCCATGGATATGAGGACGAAGCAGGAGGAAACCACTTTTTCCAGCTCTGCCTTGCGTTTTTTGGCTCCTCTCAACGTGATTTGTGGGTGAGCCAGCTAAAGTTGTTGCTCCTCTTCCCGTTTAGTTGGTGGAGTCAAGAAGCTGGATATGGTCACATGGAGTAGCTCGTAGAGCGGTACCAAACATGCTTTTAGATTAATCGAAACACTGAGTGTAAAATAGGAAAGCTGTTTCAAAACTGTAACACCATCGGTGTTACTGTAACACCCCGGTGTTATGCCAGCATTTAGGCACTGCAAATCATGCATATCATGCATCATCAAGCATCCTAATCATACATGCCTAATCATGTAAATAATAACTGAAACACTGCTTCGAAACATACGAAACATGCTTGTGAAACGTAAATGATGCATACACTTGTTAGAGTTGTTTTGCCCTGATTATGCTTGCTAGGTTAGTAGAACTTGTTTGGTTAAGATTGTCAATCATCTAGAATTATTTAGTACAATTTTTGTAGCAAAGTTTGTATTCAAATTATTGCCAATTTTGGTTTTAAAAATAATTCTCCAAAAATTAGGGTTTTGAGTTAAAATTGACTTTAACTTTTTTTTTAATTCAAAATCTATCAAGAATTTGGCTTTGGTCATAAAATCAAAGTTGTAGATATTGAAAAATGGAACAAATTTCATTTTTACACCAATTTGTGAAAATGCTTTTAAATGGCTCAAAATGGGAATTTAATTCTGTTTATTTGAGAAATAAAAAGAATTTTTTTTTCATTTCGCTTAACAGGCCGCCGCTCAGCTTCCCGGCCCACGGCCGAAGCCGGCCTGGCCCGCGTCCTCGCCTGCCGCGCGTTTCTCCCTGGCCAGCAGCGCTTCGCCGGCCCAGGCCCACGCCGCGGCCGCTCCCGCGTGCAGCCGCGCCCGCCTTCCCCGCCTGCCCGACCGCCACGCGGCGCCCGTACACCGGTGGCGAGGGGCGGTGCCTACTCCGACCAGCCGCGCCCCGCCTTCAAAGCGGTCCGAGCGCGCGCACGCCACCCCACTCTGCCACTTCACTACGCCACCTCCCTGCCTCTCGCTCCGTAGCAGCAGCAGCAGCGCCCGAGCTGCCAAGCTCGCCGACGCGCTCCGCCGGCGTCGAGCTCCCGCACCACCGCACCATCCCCCGATTCGCGCCGCCAGCAGTTCCGCCTCGTCAACCTCCGTCGTTTGCGCTCGCCAGCGGCTGCCGTCGTCGAGGTGAGGGCTAAACTTGGCGCCTCCTTCCTCTCCGGCAAGCATGCCACCGTGGCCGCGCGGACCCCCACGCCGTCGGGCCAGCTCCGTTCTGCCGGTCGGTGCGGCTCCGCGTGTTGAGCACGCTGGCACCCCCCCTCGCGCCACGGAAGGGCTCGCCGCCGGTGAGCACCGGCCAGCGGAGCACCTCCCCTGCCCCTGGTTCGCTGACCCGCGGGGACCAGCCGCAGTGGCTGGCGAAGGCCCCGGGTGGCTGGCCAGTGGGCCGGTTGACCCCCTGGGTCCCGCCTGTCTGTCTCTCTGGCGCGGGTTTTGGGTGAATAACCAGGTGGATCTAGCAGATTTGAGCATGAAGTTTAAAAAGGATTTCAAAAATGAATTTTCAGATTCCTACTTAAATGCTTTGGAAAATGTTTGTGTACTCATTTTGGCTCCAAATTTGTTGAAACAAATTTTGCTAGGTTCCTTGTCACCAGATCTACATGATAAAATTATTGCATGTCATTTTTGAGATACTTTTCTGTAGAGTTTTATTTAATCCTTGATATTGCTGATAACTTGAAAAATGTGTAGAAAAACCTATAGGCTTCAGAAAAATATGATTCCAAGTTTGTTAATCTTCTTGTGTAATGTACTTCCTAGGAAAAATATGTGTCATGC